ACTCCTTTGAGGGGACTTATGAGGATCATCAGATATTTAGACAAGTTTTCTTTGGAAGTGATCCTGGGAATACTACTAAAAGATGTCTCGTTACTGGAGTCATTAACTTCGAATGTGATTCCAGTAAGAATGTCAATTCCTCTCTCAGTTCCAACTCTGTGGTAACAAGTGGATGTGAGGCATCTGCTTCAAAAGATGGTTCAGAGGTTAACACAAAAGCTAAGAGAGTGAAGCTTTCAGGTGATAAGCATTTGGATGCAAGGGACGTAAAGGGTTCGGCTTTGAATGGTTTTCCAACTTCGGATATAGCTAGAGAGACGATACCTCTCCATTTAGTTGAATCATCTAACAAGGGTGTTTCAACTAGCTCATATTTGCTAAAGCAAAGCATAGACAAGGGAAGAGAAGTTTATCTGGGTGGCATTGTCTCCGGAAAGTGTAAGTCACAAAACTTGGACAAATGCGATGGAAAGGAGTTTAAAGCTATTGCTTCTCCTGTTTCTCAGGAGAGCTTCGCAACCAGAATGATCTGTGTTGGTGGTTCTACGCCTCGTAGTGAGAAGGCTTGCTTCACTCCTGATGAGTTAATTATGTCTAGAACCTGTCTAAAGATTGATCCTAAAGAGGACCCCCGTCCTCTTCTCTACAAATATGTCTGTAAGTTGCTTACTGCTGCCAGATGGAAAATCGAGAAGCGCAAAAGATCAGCAGGTAGGAAGCACATAGAAACATTTTACATATCGCCAGAGGGACGGAAATTTCGTGAATTTGGGTCAGCTTGGAAATCATTGGGTGGTATCCTATTAGCCGATCATAAGTTAATGGATACTGGTACTAAGAAATGGACCGGTATCAATGACTTCTGGTCCGATCTCTCTCTTACTCTGTTGGACATCGAGGAGAACATGAAAAATTTAAATCTTGCTAACACACGGGCACTTTGGTGGAGTGCCTTAGAGCCTTTTGTGGTTGCTGTCTTCATTTCTAAGCAAGTTGGTTCTTTAAGAAAAGGAAATAAAGTTGAAGTTGCAAGGAATTCAGTTCTTCACAAGTTGAAGAAAGAAGATGCGATTTGTTTGAACATGATTTCAGGCTGTCCTGAAAGTGTGCTGACAGTATCTGAAGGCAGTCATTTTGTTTATGACGTGGATGCTAACCAAGAGATTCATTCAGATCTTGAGGTGCAAACTAAAAATATCCCTCGAAAAGTTTCTTCAAGACTAGAGAGGCAGAACATAATTGGTAAGGAAATCTCTGGGACTCATGAGCAGGAGGCTAGCAAGGGAGTTGTAGCTTCAAAGTTGATAGCAGAAGACATGCATGAAAGTGTTATGAGAAAGAACTTACACAGAAGATCAAAAAAAATATCCGATATCAAACCAGTTCCCTTGGACCAACATGATTCACTAGATTCTAATTCTCTCGATAGCCTTGAATGCCAGGATAAAGAGATGGGCAACATTCACCTCATCTCAAAGGCAAGTCGGGATGAAAGGTTGAGGAAAGAGAAGATGAAGAATTCATTTTGCAATTCAAAGAAAGGAAGTAAGAAAGCTAGGAAGCACTATACTCAAGATGATGACCTTATGGTGTCGCCAGTAATCAGAAACCAAGGCAAGGGTAGCAGATCAAGCCAGAAAAAGAAAAACCAGAAACCAAAGGCTAGAACAAAAAAAAGAAACAATAAGGGAGGGTGCAGGCTGCTTCCCAGAAGCACAAGCAATGTGGAAAATCAATTTTGTCAAGGAAATTGGTCTATTTTGGGTCCAAGAACTGTCTTATCATGGTTGATAGCTACCAAAGTAATTTCTAGGGACGAAGTAATCCAGTTACGAGATCCAGATGATGATACTGTGGTAAAAACAGGCCTGGTAACTAAAGATGGAGTGGTTTGTACATGTTGCAACAGGACTGTATCACTTTCTGAATTCAAGAACCATGCTGGATTTAACCAGAACTGTCCATGTCTGAATCTTTTCATGGGGTCAGGAAAGCCTTTCGCTTCATGTCAGCTGGAAGCTTGGTCTGCTGAGTATAAGGCGCGGAGAAATGGATGGAGATCAGAGGAAGCTTCTGATGATGATCCAAATGATGATTCTTGTGGAGTTTGTGGTGATGGGGGTGAGCTGATCTGCTGTGATAATTGTCCATCTACCTTCCATCAGGCTTGCTTATCAATGCAGGTATTGTCTGGCTCATCCCAGGCTATAATTTACATTTTGGCTATTATTTGTCCCATTAATTAACTCTATGTAAAACATACACGTGGGCCGAAACTTCTCCAGTTGCCAGTTGGTATTGTTCTTACATACACATGGGTGAAACTTCTTGGTTGATTCTGTAGTTTTACTTATTCAACTTTAGTATAACTAGGATTTTTTTACCTTACTAGAACTGTATCCTCTGTAAATTTCTACCCTCTAAAGAGCGTGGCTGTATTACTTTTGCTTTCTCTACACAGGTGCTCCCTGAAGGAAGTTGGTATTGCTCGAGCTGCTCATGTCAGATATGCAGCGAGTTGGTTAGTGATAATGGTGAACGCTCTCAGGATTTTAAATGTTCCCAGTGTGCGCATAAATGTAATCATCTTACTGCTCGCCATCTCTTAGAAATTATGATTTATTTCTTTATCACATGAAAGGAAACCCCTGATTTGAATTGTCTTCTATCATGTCTCACTGTTCATCAGTTACAGTTGTAGATGTTGGTTTATCTGCCAGGCTCGGCGCTTCTCCAATTTTCTTTCTTTAGTGATTGATACTTTGTAAAACTCACTTTTGGAGTTATGCCTCTCTTGACTGTTGGATCCCACATTACTTATTTTGGTTTGAAATCCACTTTGGCTGATGATTGTTACTTTTATGTTATCAGATCACGGAATATGTTTGCAAGGGATAAGTAAACGCAGAAAACTTTTTCCAGAGACCTACTTTTGTGGTAAAAATTGTGAGAAGGTATTAATTATACCTAGTCTCTGTGACTTAAACAACTAATGTGTACCGTGAATAACTTTTGTTCTTCCAAGTACTTTTTAGATTTACATTGAGAATAATATATTTTTCGCTGCTCTTGGGCTCTTTGACATATAACAAAAGAAGATGATACAGCTGCTGAACAACTTTCAAGGTTCTCATTAGTAGCTTGTGTAATGCAGGTGTACACTGGTCTCAGTTCTCGTGTTGGGGTCATTAACCCTAATGCTGATGGTCTGTCTTGGTCAATTCTGAAATGTTTTCAAGAAGATGGAAAGGTTCATTCTGCCCGAAGGTTAGCGTTGAAGGCTGAATGCAACTCGAAATTAGCTGTTGCCCTATCAATTATGGAGGAAAGCTTTCTGTCTATGGTAGATCCAAGAACTGGTATTGACATGATACCTCATGTGCTATACAACTGGGGGTAACGTCCTCTTGTCATTAGCTTGCACATTTTGATTTCTGTTTGTTATTCTGTACCTTCAGTTCTGCTCTTCATATTCATCGATTTGTCTTACCTTTTTTGAATCTTTTGTTGCACTTAAAGGTCAAAATTTGCTCGCTTAGACTTTGATGGGTTTTACACAATGGTTGTGGAAAAGGATGATGTGATGATCTCAGTAGCATCTATCAGGTTAGTATGAGTAAATTCGAATTCATTCTGCAAAAACAGTAATTTCATGGCTATCACATGTTTGGCATGTCTTCTAGAATCCTCCAGGCAATGAAACAAAAATTTGACACTATTGGCAAATGGATGCTTAGAATTATTTTTCGACTTCCATACACTGAAACGAGTTACATATAAAACCCATTTTTCTATATCCAGGGTGCATGGAGTAACTGTTGCAGAAATGCCTCTTGTAGCTACGTGCAGCAAATATCGCCGACAGGGAATGTGCAGAATCCTTGTGGCTGCCATCGAAGAGGTACAACATTTAGACTGTATCCATGTGATTGTTCTCGAGGCTCCATCCACATTAATAATGTCTGAACTTAGTACAATGATAGACATACAGCACCGCTCATATGCTGACCTTGATAATTTCTTAGCTCATGTTCTCTCTTCCATTCTTGTCTTGATTCCTCGGCTATCAAAAGATAAAACTATTCATTGGTTTTTGGCTGCAGATGCTTATGTCTCTCAAAGTGGAGAAGCTTGTGGTAGCTGCATTGCCGAGTTTAGTGGAAACTTGGACTGAAGGTTTTGGCTTCAAACCCATGGATGATGAAGAGCGTGATGCTCTCAAAAGAATAAACTTGATGGTGTTCCCTGGGACAATTCTGCTCATGAAAACACTATACGAGAGCACAAAACCAAACACTGTGAAAGGTAAAGCCAACTCCTCTCTCTCTCTCTCTCGCATTAGTTTACAACAAACCTCATCTGATTTTTGCTCCTGCACAGGTGTATGTCTTTCTAAAGATCGCAATAACCAATCAAACAAAGAAGCAGATCTAGAGTCAGGCCTAGACAAAGCTGAGTTTCCCATGAGTACCCAAGTTGAGAGCTGTGATCAGATGGTTCCATCAGGTTCAGATGAAGAACCGGCCCCAGGCTTCCCCGTGCCACTTGGAGCTAAGCAAACAGAACCAACTTCAGAAACAGAGAACCCAACCCAGGACAGCAATGCCGATGATAGGCCAAAGACAACAACAGTCTCCATGGGAGAAGAAGAATGTTTGCAGGAAGAGATATCAAAGTTTTCAGAAGAAGGAAAAGAAGTGACAAGAGCTTCTTCTTCCTTTGCAGCTTTAGAAGAAGTTAGTGGAGTAGGAGTAGTAGTGGTAGTAAATAATGTTAGCGATGAGATGTTGCTTTGTGTTGATGAACAGCTTGACTCTGATAGCTCTCAAGATTCGGAATAATATTATTAGACTAAAAAACTATGACCGTTTCTTTCACTATATTCTCTCGTCACTTTTTTTTGAAAGAAAACCCTAGTAAGATTAGGAAACCGCATAAAAGAGGATTCTATTTATTCATTTTCTCTTTCAAGTCTCACCAATCCTCAAAACCCTAAACACCAAATATCAAAAAACCCATTTTTCCGAACAAATCATGGTTTTTGATGCTGTCAATCCAGACCCCGACAGCTTCGTCTACTATGATCCGATCTATAACGACGACGGTGATTTTCGCAGAACCCAAAACTTGATGTTCATTTTTCATGTGTGTTACAATCTTGCCCCTGAAGTAAATTCAGATGGAGAAGAAGAAGATCCTCACAATCTTGAAACTCTAGTACGTGATCAAACTCAAGAGTTTGATAAAGAATTGCTTTTCAGTGGAGATAGGGAGCAAATACAAGTCATTGTCTATCACTTGCTTGATTTGATTAAAGCCCCTCGTTATATTGAGGTTGTTAGCAAACTCATTGATGCAATCTTTGATTTGAAGGAGCGTGATAAGATCTCTAACGTGATGAAGGTAGATGTAGTCATAAATGTTATTGTGTGGAGGTTTCCTGATGATGATGATGATGATGTAGATGTGAAACTTGAGGTGGCTCCGGCGAGCAATGAGGCGATAGAGCAACATTTGGAGACGGTGGCTGTTGAGAATGAAAGTTATTGTGTGATATGCATGGATAATATCCGAGTTGGATCGGATATGGCAGCTGGTCGAATGCCGTGTTCTCACGTGTTTCATCGCACGTGTGCTGAAAATTGGCTTAGGAGTAGTGGGATTTGTCCGGTGTGTCGTGCCATGTTTCCGTTCTAAACCCTAAAACCTATCTCTCAAACCATTTGTGTTAGTTTCGTTTATTATGTTTGATTTATGTAATCCCTTCACTTTATCTTTCCTTTATGCGTTTGAATGTTCAATACAATATGATTCATCAAGCTTCATTGCTATTTTCTGTTTCACACCCTTTTTCATAGATATAATTTAGGGAGGTGTATTGAATTGTGGATCTAATTTATTTGGTAAGGTTTTAATTAACTTCAAGGATATTCTGATGATTTTAAAAAGATTGTTAGAGATTTTATACTATAAACTAGTGTTTTGAGTGATATCGAAAGTGTATTCATTTCCAAATATCTTGAATTCTTGATAGAGAGTATAAGGAACATTCTCTTTGTAATTTTTTTTTGTGAAGTTTCTAGTTTAGATATTGCATTTACCGTTTCATGTAAATCTTGATTATGTGTAAACAACTCTGGTTTTCTAATGCCTTAGTAATGAGAACGATTCCAACAAGGGAAATCATTATCTTTCATATTCACCATTGAATTAAATCCCTAAGGGATCCTCCTATATTGCCGCGCTCTCTCCAAATGGATTCAATACATGTAATTTGTCTTCATTTGTTTTGAGCCTTTGACTAGTGGAAACGTATAAACAAAACAAAAAGTAGCTTGAATTGTGGTTGTAATTCCCAAAAATCTAGAAAAATTGTCTCTTAAATTCAATACACTCTCTATAGTCATTTGAATTCAATATATTCATCCAAGTGAGTGTAACCTAATGGCCAATGGTGAAATATTTCAACCTCAACCCCTAGTAAACAAAATCAGTATTGCCTACTACAACTTAAGCAATTAAACACAATCTACTTTTATTATTTCTTAAAACGCTTTCACCTATCAATGTATTCTATTCTTTACTTACTTATATTTCGTAGATTTTCAATTCAACATAAAAGTTGTCTCCATTTGTTTGTCAAATTAATTAATTACCTGCCTAACTTTAGTTATCATTAATGTTAAAATTGTCTTTAGTCATAACCTCTGAATGTTCTAAAATTGTATTTATACACAATTTTCATATAAACATACACATAAATCCGTGCATCTTCAAAAGGATCCGACCCGAATCCGGAAAATCGGATCCACCTGAGCTGAATAAACAAAACTAGAAAAAAACCGTTACAAAAGCTTCCGAGAAAGTGGATCCGCCGTAGCTGGAGGATCCGTTCGTTAACAAAATCATGCCATCTTCTCCTAAGCTGTTTAACGCGCGGCCATCACTCTTCACGCGCCGATCGACGCCTTTGATCGTCTTCACCTCTCTTGTTATCGGTCTAACCGGTTTCCTTTTCGGATTATCCACGATTCTTTTCCCGGGTCTCCGGTTATCCGGCCGGTCCTGCCTCACCAACTTGCCTCCGAAGACGGTTAAAATCGTCTGGGACGCCGCTGGAAATAGTATCGTTAATGGCGAAGTCAAAAGGCACAAGGTGATGGGATTCGTCGGAATCCAGACCGGATTCAGATCTGCTGGCCGGAGACGAGCTCTCAGGAACACATGGATGCCGTCCGATCCCGAAGGCCTTCGACGGTACTGATTCAATCTTCTCTCAATTGATTGGTTTCTTCTAGCTTTAGGGTTCTCTGGAACCAATTTGTCACAAGGATTGAACTAATTGCATCATCTATATTGATTTGATCATTGATCTTAATCTTAGACCTTGAAGACTGCATATAGAAATCTTCTGAATACACACTCATGATCTTCAATGCTTCATGATTCTTGGGACTTTCTCTATTTCACTGTAAACCAAACCATTGTTCTTTGCAGATTGGAGGAATCAACAGGATTGGCCATTAGATTTATTATAGGCAAAACCAAAGATGAGGCCAAAATGGCTGAGCTTAGAAGGGAAATCGCAGAGTACGATGACTTTATACTGCTCGATATCGAGGAGGAGTATAGTAAGCTCCCCTACAAAACGTTAGTTAGAGACTAATACTTTTTCTATTCACATCTCATATGACAGATAACTTGGAAGGCTCTAATTCATGGTCTTTGTTTATATTTTCGGTTGTGTAGTTTGGCTTTCTTCAAAGCTGCATACGCCTTATATGATTCAGAATTCTATGTCAAAGCTGATGATGATATATACTTGAGGCCAGGTAATTGATTGCATTCTCTGGTTTTGCAATTCGTGTCCTCAGGGAAGTTCTGGATTTCATAAGAGACTGTTATTTTCTTCACAGATCGGTTGTCTTTGCTGTTGGCTAAAGAGCGGAGTCACTCGCAGACATACCTCGGATGCCTGAAAAAAGGTCCGGTTTTCACAGATCCAAAGCTCAAATGGTAAGGACAGAAACAACTTATAATGAACAACTAACAGAACACGTGAATCATGCTATCCTTTTGAGAAACTTTGTGATTAGATAGGATTTGTGACACCCTATTATTTCTTGTGGTTCAATGTACCTGGAAATCGGTTGGAATTTTGCAGGTATGAACCTTTGGCAGATCTGCTCGGGAAAGAGTACTTTCTTCATGCTTATGGCCCCATATATGCTCTTTCTGCTGATGTTGTCACTAGTTTGGTTGCCCTCAAGAACAACAGGCAAGTTCTGTCTCCTCAATATTATTTGTCTTTGAAGTCTCCACCACTGTGATATACTCCAATTAGGACTTCATCTTCACCCTAGAAGAGTTCTGACTTCATCTTAACAAGGTGAATTTGTTTCCCAAACTACAGTTTCAGGATGTTTAGCAATGAGGACGTGACTATAGGTGCGTGGATGCTGGCAATGAACGTTAACCACGAGAATCTTCACACCCTTTGTGAACCAGAGTGCTCACCATACTCCATTGCTGTTTGGGATATACCAAAATGCTCAGGTTCATTTTCTCCGTCCCGGTCTTAAAGAATGTATTTAAAGTCACTTTGCATAAGCATTTCTACAACAATTGATCACAATTTGGATTAAAAATGTTTCTTGTGCAGGCCTCTGTAACCCAGAGAAAAGGATGTTGGAACTTCACAACCTAGAGAGCTGCTCAAAAACCCCGACTTTGCCATCGGATGATGAATGATTTACCGTCTAATATATAATTCTTTAATGATCGAAGACCCGAGGCGTAACAATATGCAGATCTCTTACTCTGACATGTCCGCCATTGAAGTAGCTCGACACAGATTGTTCAAGCCTGTTTTACTTACTCTGCTCTGTTTTTTTCGGTGGAAATGCGAGAAAAGCAACGAGAGTTGATTCTCGCTTATTAAACGGCTTTAGGGATTTTTTAAACTAGGGTTAGTTATTTTGGTGTATCACAAGTTTTGGGCACTACCTTGTTGTACAAGTATAGGATTAAACTAATCTAATAATAATAACAATCTCAATAAATGTCTTTTGCACTTGTGAACAGTTGAGTCTTTTAATCGCAACTTTTCGTTAAGTTTTTTTTTTAAAACGATTTTTGAAATATTTTCTCCCGCGACATCGCGAAGGTCTTGTTTCCTAGTACTCCTAATAAGAATTAGTTTTTTTTAACTATATCTTTCTAGTTTTACATATTTTTCCAAATTATTTTTGGTTGGATCGAGTTTTTTTCATCCAAACAGTAATTGAAAGTAAAACTATTATCTTTGCTAGATGTCTTTTCACTTTGATTTCTAAGATCATCTCTAGTTTAAATATAATTACACCATTCACGATGAGCTAATGTATACTTGTATGCAATATTTGGAAACACAACATACAATTCCGCAAACAACTTCACGACAAATAATTTTAACTGTATCACATTCATAACAAACATTGATTTTTCCAAAGATAATATAGATAAATCGTTGGTCGTGAACTCCTGATCTTTGAAAAAATCAATGTTGTTATGAATGTAGATAAATCGTTGGTCGTGAACTCGTGACAGAGCTACAACTTTCGAGCTAAGAGCAAAACAAGATTGCCAAAGGGAAACAGAAAATATGTTCAATTCCACGAAATATCAAACCACAAAGTAATCACACGAAACCAAACTAATCTCAACACAAAGGGACCACAACAATCCAATGCGATGGACCACAAACAAAATCAACCTAACACGGCAGATACTAATCCCGTACGGCCGTACCTAACAAAGACACGAGATAGAGGAACACGGGGATGGAGAAAGTACCTTCCAACCGGATTCAACGAGAGAATCCATTGATACCAGAAAGAGAGAAAACACGATGGATCTCTGCGGCGAAGATAGGCAGAGAGTGAGAGAGAAAGAGAGAGACGATAAACGAGAAAGAAAAAATAAACACGGGAGAAAAAAATACAAAAATGGCCACCAACCAAATAACGACACGTAAGCAGATTCATTGTTTTTATTCAGTTTGGATTTATTTTTTGGACTTTTTGGACATGGTCTTAGACCCACTGTTGGAGGTGGTCTTTATTAAAGAGGAACCAAGTTACAAAGTCGGCGATTAAAAACATAATCCCGAAAACTAAGCCGGCGGAAACAAACACATCCCCGGAAACTAAGCCGACGGATAACAAGATATCCTCGGAAACTAAGCCCAAAAACATGGGATTCAAACATCAACACTACTAATGAACAAACAATGCCAAAACAAAGAAGGCAACGAAGCACAAAGAACATGAAATACAACTCTAACTCAGAATCTAGCACATCACACCTTGCCTACCACCAAACCAACAAAGAGAAAAGCTTGAAGTAGTGGCTAACCGATGGAGACGAGAAAATCCACAACACCGGACAGCGGCTCCTCCTATAACAATGAAGACTACCTCACAAATTATAAAGAACTAAAGCATCTTTACCAGCAAGTAGAGAACAAGAACCCAAACACAACTCCTGGAAACGGCGAATTCGAGGCAAGCTTAATAACCACGAAATGATTACGCCAAGAAAGATACCAATGCAATAGAGAGACCTCGATCAGGTCTTGACCGTAGAGACAAGGACCGAGCCCAAACAATCCGCATCAAACCGAAAACTGGAGACGATAAGAACGCGAACCGGATCGAAAAACAAGCAAACTCAGCAAGGCAGAGAATAGGCAAGAGATCAAGAAACTAGACACAAAAGACTGAATACAGAGCCAATTCCAGAACAGCACCAAAGAAACCAACTATGAAGGCACAAAGACAAAGACCCAAAAGAGAATTGAAGAGCACCAACACAAATTCTCCAAAACATGAAACCAACAGAAACGGTAATTCACAAAACGGCATGGAGACAAATCGATTCAGTACACATACACAAGGTTTGAAATTTAAGAATGGAGACCCGTAGATCGATTAAATCCGGCGTCACCCTCCTCAAACCAAAACAAACCACGATCAGGAGATCCACCGCAAAGCTTCCGTCATGAGCGAAGAGGCAGATCCGAAAAGGATTCGTCCTTGCAACTTGACCAAGACCAAACCCCGCCATGAGTCACACCAACGCACAAAGAGCAGACCATAGACCAAAGTTTCCAGTGACAAAGGCCACTTTCAACCAGATCTGAGAATCGAAGACGGCCAAACCATCTCGCCAAAGCCACCGTGCAAACACCCGCCAAAGAAAACAAAGAGCAGAAACAAAAACTAGAGAAGAAGAGAAACGTGACCGACGCCGGCGCTAAGTAAGCCGCCACGCGCCGGTCAAAATCCAGCCAAATACGAAGAGACGAAGGAGGCGGCGATTAGGTCACGGGAGAGAAAAAAAGTCGGGTGGCTAACTTCGTATGAAATTTTATTAAACACCACTGTTGGAGGTGGTCTAGTAATGAAACTTTGATAAAATCAAGTGTAATAACAATTGGTCAACTAATAAGATTCAACTGATTAAGGTTTGGGTAATCACCTTTTGTTGTCTATGCTAACTGTAATAACAACATGTACTATTTTTTATGTATCTAAAATATTTTAGTAATAATAATATACCCAAATAATTTGTTGAAAGCCAATATTAATCAATACAAATTGATATTTTTAAATTGAGGAATTAACGCGGGAAGAAAAAAAAAACGGCAGAAGCATGGTGAGAGCCATAGTGGTTGTTCGGTCAGCTGCTGATTGCATCCTCTTCTTCATCTTCTCTTTTAAATACTCTTTCGTCTCTGTAACAAATCTTCACAACACAATCAAAATCCAAAGTATCAATCTTTTTATTCCAATTCCGATCCAATGGCTCCAACACTCTCAACAACCCAATTCTCAAACCCAGCTGAAGTAACCGACTTCGTAGTCCACAAAGGAAATGGTGTAAAGGGTTTATCAGAAACAGGATCAAAGCTCTTCCAGACCAATACATCCAGCCATTTGAAGAACGACTCATCAACAAATTCGTCAACGAAACAGATGAAGCGATTCCGGTGATTGATATGTCGAACCCTGATGAGAACAGAGTCGCTGAAGCTGTCTGTGATGCTGCTGAGAAATGGGGTTTCTTTCAAGTTATCAATCATGGAGTTCCCTTTGGAAGTTCTTGACGACGTTAAGGCTGCGACTCACAGATTCTTCAATCTCCCTGTGGAAGAGAAGAGCAAATTCACAAAGGAGAATTCTTTGTCTACGAATGTTAGGTTTGGGACAAGTTTTAGTCCTCGTGCTGAGAAAGCTCTCGAGTGGAAAGATTATCTGAGTCTCTTCTTTGTCTCTGAAGCTGAAGCGGAACAGTTCTGGCCTGATATCTGCAGGTAAGTTTCACAATTTCATGATTACAAAATCAATCTTTCTTCTCTTGTAATCATTTGACTTATATAGAATTCTTGATTATTCGGTTTTGCAGGAATGAAACGTTAGAGTACATTGACAAGTCAAAGAAGATGGTGAGGAAGCTTCTAGAGTATTTGGGGAAGAATCTCAATGTTAAAGAGCTCGACGAGACGAAAGAATCACTCTTTATGGGTTCGATTCGAGTCAACCTCAACTACTATCCGATCTGCCCTAACCCGGACCTAACCGTCGGTGTTGGTCGCCACTCAGACGTCTCTTCTCTCACTATTCTCTTACAAGACCAGATCGGTGGTCTACACGTGCGTTCTCTGGCGTCAGGGAACTGGGTTCACGTGCCACCGGTTCCCGGGTCTTTTGTGATCAACATCGGAGATGCGATGCAGATCTTGAGCAATGGTCGTTACAAGAGCGTGGAGCATCGTGTCTTAGCCAATGGAAACAATAACAGAATCTCTGTTCCTATCTTTGTGAATCCAAAACCAGAGTCCGTGATTGGTCCTCTACCTGAGGTGATTGCAAACGGAGAGGAACCGATTTACAGAGACATCCTGTACTCTGATTACGTCAGGTATTTCTTCAGGAAGGCACACGACGGAAAGAAAACCGTTGATTACGCCAAGATCTGATCACAATCGACCTCAAGGAGTTCGATTTCTTGTTTTTTGTTTGTTTCCTGTTTGTGTTGTGTGTGAGTGAATAAAAAAAGAGAGAAGAGAAGACATATATGATGTCTTCTTGAACCAGTTTCTCTGTTCAGAATTGTGTTGTAAAATTTACTATCATTGATCAATAAAGTTTCTCTTTTATCAGACTAAAATGTTACAGTATGTAGCAAGGAACTTACAATGAAGAAGAACCTATCTCAGTTTGATAAAATCCTCTGTAATAGCTTTGGCTCGCAGTCGTTTTTGATAAGATCCTCTGTTTAACTCTATCTTGAATCGACTTTGGGATGTTCTCCGTTGACATCGTTGTCAAGATCATCGATAACTTCGTTGAATTCGAAGATCTTATTCTTCCTCAACTAATTGATCAAGAAGTACCAACCGATTGCTCCTATGGTCATTACAACGCAAATAAGGAATGTCTTTTGAGGCTCGTCCAGTTCCTCTGCAAGAGTACTGACATTGTCCCAGAAATTCAAGTTCCAAAAGAGTGTGTTGAAGTAGAGATTCCAATCTTTTTCCTTGTTTCCTAAGCTACCCCAACGGTGAGGTTTGATCTTAAGGATTGCCATAGCCGACATAACAAGGAAAGGCGAGAGAGACACCAGACCGAGAACAACAGCTAAGCCAGTATAGTTTAGGAAAGATAAGACCACTGTTGAGGCGAATATGCCGACATTTCGGGGCCACCCGGATTCAAGAACAGGGAAGAGCTTATCCAAGTAAGTAACACAGAGGACAGGAAACGAAGCAACATTAATCACACCACTCAGGAACTTCAACGAACCCATCATTGAGCCCACGAAAGAACCAAATGCCCGATGTGCCCATATCATCAAATAAGAAAAGTTTCAGGCTTGGATCCAAATTAAAACCCTAGTTGTTATAGTGTGAAACTATCAAATCTTTTTTTTTGCGTAATTTAAATTTTTGTATGGTTTTGTACTTATATAGTTTGAGAATTTATACATAAATATACTATCTTTATGTGAATCGTAAAGGCTTACACAGGGAAAAAGGGGAAATGGGAGATGGAAATTCGAAAGAAAATAGATTTTTTAGAGTCCAGAGAACTAAATAAGTATTAGTGTATATACATATTTGTTACTAAAAGAAAACAAAAAGTTAGGATGTTACTTGTACGTGTATAGTGTTTTTTTTTTTTTTAATTTATCACATTAAGATTGAAAATACTAATAACTTTCTTTGGGTCTGCGAGAAATTAAAAACTAAAATAGAAGAAGTAGCCAAAAATGGTGTCTATTAAGGGTTACACAACAAAAAAAGTTGGTATCTAACTATCTTTGTGTAAGCATGTTAAAAGCTGTCAAACCCCACAATCATATAAAAATAAGAACAAAATCAGAACCCATCTTACACTGCTGCCCAATGATCTGATTAGTCTTACTCTTACGTCATATTTAGAAACGTATGGCTTCACTAAAAAAAACCATCAGATATACACACCAAATTAGTTATGGGTGAATGCATCGTTAGCATAAGCGCGCACCATTATATTTATATTTTTAAAATACCAAAATATTTTTATATACCAAAACTAACTTTAAGTGTTAAGTAGTTATTTAATTTGAGCATTGAGGAATGGTTAATCCTTCCGAATTTTATATAGAACCGGCTTTAGGGAACCTTTTGTGAACATCTTATGCAGAATAAGTGAATAACCCACGAAAACTATGTCTCTAAACGCCTAATTTCTAATCAATTGAGAAGCATAACATTATTTTATCTATTAGTGGTTGAATAGTTCACTACAAATTATTTACTAATATCCTGCAAATCTAATTTTATTCTACTATCACTCTCGAATCAAAATCAATCGTCTTATGAATTCTCAAAATTCGATCCTTCCAAACATATACATACATATTTCATCACATGTTCTTTTTACTCGTAAATACTTTCCAAGTTATGAAGCATCTATACTAATATGTTTTTTTTTTCAATTTCTAATGATGTTTTAACTTTATTTTTATGGTTTTCAAATAATTAGTAATGTTTACGTAAAATGTTGGTATGAAAGGACTAATTTATGCTTTTGTTTTTTTGAAAAATATTTTAGTTAGCATGCATTATGTTAAAACATCATACAATACTTCCTAACTTTCACTAAAATTAAAAATAATATATAAATTTCTAATCTATCTTTTATTAATATAATATATAACTCTCTCTCTCTAACTAATAGAGATAAAATTAAATTTTACTTTAAAAATCCGCATATAAAACACAAAACGACATTTAATGTAAAACAAAAATAAAGTGTTAAAACGACATTTTTTGTGTGAAACGGGTAGAGTACAAAACAAGTAGAATATTATGTTAGCCAATTAAGTGAGTGCCTTTCTGTTAAAGAATTAAGTGCGTATTTACCAACTCTTACTACAAAATCTAGACATATTAATCACAACCTCCATTATCTAATTAGAATTAGGTCCATGAACCTACCAACCAAGCTAAAATTGATCATGGTATTGATCATGGTCTTCTATTTATCTTTAAAAATGTATTTTGCATTTATTTTTACGCATCTAACAGCTGTGAATATACATATATAAGATTCTAGGAACACACCTATGTGTGCATGCATGTATTTGTGTAGAATGTGTATGGTATTGTGAATGCTTTACTCGGATATTGCCTCCAAGTGTCAATATGATCAAAAACTCAAATTTATTAGACCAACACCAACCACTGTATTTCACGTTAAAATAGTAAAAAGCAAGCTTTATATATAAATTAAGAATTAGTCCAATTTTAATAATTTAGTAAAACATTTACAATCTATATCTTTAAGTCTGTAACAGAAGTATACTGTATATGTTATGAAGTATTTAAAGCGTGTGGGCATATACAAAAGAAACAAAACTTAACCGATCCATCCCTAAAGCTAGCTACATGCATGACCAATACGTAGATGAAACGATTCTGCATGCGCCTTGGCTCTTGCTTATGTGAATTGCCATATATCTGCGTTACATATGTGACACACGTAGGATTTTATCAAGTGGTACGTAAAACCAAATAAAACAAAGTAGCAGATTATTAAGAAAAACAAAAACTCGATCGTGAACAAAACCATATGTTTCTTCGAAATTGTGGAGAAATTAAAAAGGACGGAGACATTATCGAAAGCTAAATTAGCAGATTATTTTATAAATGTTTTTTTTTGTTTTATACTGTACAGCTGTACTAAATTAATGATAAGACATTCCTTCGAAATTGAGAAAGAGAAAATAACATAAATGAAATCTGTCTCGTGAAGGTGAAGCAGTGAGCTGTGAGCCTATTTTTGTCAACAAATACTATTTCCAATTATTTGCGTAAAATAATCAGAGCCGATTTTATGAAGGTTCACATTTCATAATTAATTGTATAGTATAGTATAGTAGAGTGTTGTTGCGTGGACATAGTCGTAGCGCAAGCCACGAGAAGGATTTAGTCAAGACTTCTAGAATTAAATATTAGTATTAAAATAGCTAAAACCAAATCCTAAATTTATTCTCAAATCGCAAAATTTAGAATAGTGACACTAGTTTTCATTTGACTAGGCAAAATCTCGTGAAAATCTTTTACAAAAAAATAAATTAAAATCTGATGACAATCAATAACAACTTATAATCATCTGATAATTGAACTGAAATTAATCCGTATAGTATAAGCTTTTCCAACTTAATTTTGTATTACATAGTAACGTGACAAACCACAAAAGTATAATTCACTTTTTTTTTTTGGCATGAAATAAATCACACATTAAATTATTTTTGTTTCACTCGCTGTTTTTCTTCGTCTCCTACCTCTCTTCTATTCTTCTCTGAAACTTTTTTTTTTTCTTCTTTTCTGATTCAATCTTCGACATCGCAAGATCCCATCTTTCCCTTCTCTTTCTTTCCCCATGCATTGATCACAATATTTATGATCTTACAGTTTCGTCTCTATCTTGTATCCGCCATTGACGGTCATCATCAGGTATTTTATTCTTTTGTAATATTGCTGAGATACAACAATGTCGAAGCTCAAGAAACCTATACTAGAATCTAACTGTGTCGCCGATAAGCTCCGTGACTCATTGAATATGGAAGACAATAATAATAATAAACCAGATACTATTAATGTCGATCTTGGATCACCAATTACACCGCTTCAGACTCGGCCGAGTGGACTCACTTCCACCAGTAGTTGCAGTTCTAGCTCGTCTGGATCGGTTACAGGTCATGTCGGACATGCTCCGGTTACAAGAAAACCCGATTCCGATCAGCCCCTTCCCTCCACCGCTAAGTATAAATCTAGCACTCCTTCCTCCGCCGCTAAATCTTCAAAGTCTAGTACGACTCCCTCCGCCGCTCAATTTGGTGGGTCTAGTAGTCCTGTCAGCGCTCGATCTCGTTCAAGCAGTCAAGTTGGTGCTAAAACCGGGAATATGAGCCCATTATCAAACTCTGGTTCGGTTACGACAAAACCATCTGGTAATAAAAGCTCTGTTTCGTCCAAGCAACATGTCAAAATACATCCCGCCGGGAATCTTTTTCCATCGGGGAAGGTACAAATTACAGGCATGACTCAAGAAAAACCAAGAAGCATGGTTCTTGGACCAGGGGCTAAATCATACGGTTATGGTAGTATAATGCGAGGAAACAACTTATCTCCGGCGAAGCCAACGATGTCCGAGTCTTCCTCTGTTTTGCCATTAACTCTCAGTAATAACTCTAGCGGTGGTCCTGACGCCGCATATACATCGTGGAAGATAGCTATATATGGTTCAAATCCAGAAGAAGTAAAGAGATTTGGTAACGAAATGTTCAAGAAAGGTTGTTTCACTGAGGCTTTGAAGTTGTATGATCGAGCAATCGAGCTTTCACCGAGTAATGCTACTTACCATAGCAATAGAGCAGCTGCATTGTCGAGTTTGGGTCAGATTGGTGAAGCTGTTAATGAATGTGAAATAGCTATCAAATTAGATCCAAAATTTGCAAGGGCTCATCACCGTTTAGCGTCATTGCTACTTAGGTAACCATTGGATCATTATTATAGAATCCTGATAGAGAAAAGATATCTAATCATTTTGGTTGGTTTACTTGGTAGCAGATTAGGTTATGTGGATAATGCAGGGATACATTTTTATTCAGTGGAGGAACCAGCAGATCCCACTGTGGTTAAAATGCTTCAACAAGTAGATAGACACTTGAACAAATGCACATATGCAAGAAGACGCGGTGAATGGAATATTGTTTTTGACTGAAGTAAGTGCAGCCATTGCGTCTGGAGCTGACTCTTCTCCTCAGGTAAAGACAAATGTTCTTGTATTAGTTAGTGTTACTTTATGAAAAATGAAGTGTTTTACATATAGCTCAAATTTGTAGCTAGCTATGTGTAAAGTTGAAGCACTACTGAAACTTCTACGGCTTGATGATGCTCAAAGAGTACTAGAATGTGTCCCCAAAGTAGAACCATTCCCAGCTTCTTCTCACATATTCGGTTTTTCGATATGAACTCTGAAGCTTACACATCTTTTGTCAAATCCCAAATGGAGTTGGCTCTAGGAAGGTGAAGATTTATAGACATGTTGATTGATTATTGTTTTTTGTTATGTCATGGGTAAAAAAGAGTGAAGAGCATATGATGAATTGTTGCAGGTTTGAAAATGCAGTTACAACTGCAGAGAAAGCTTCAGAGATTGATCCACAAACAATGAAGTTGAAATTTTGTATAAAAATGTTAGATTTATTAGGGCGCGTGATCGTGGTAACGATCTTTATGAATTAGAAAGATACACTGAAGCAAGATCAGCTTATGCGGAAGGCCTTAAGTATGATCCATCCAATGCTACTCTGTTATGTCATAGAGCAGATTGTTTCTTTAAAGTTGGGATGTGGGAGAGCTCAATAGAAGATTGTAACCATGCGTTGCTCATTCTACCGAGTTACACAAAGCCTCGTCTTCAAAGAGCTGCCTCATATAGCAAGGTAAAATATATATGGTATGACTTGTTTTGGCATTTCACTTAGAATCTAAGTTTCTTTTGATGAAATTGTAGTTGGAAGATGGGCTGAAGTAGTGAGCGATTACGAGACCTTAAGAAAGGAACTGCCTTATGACAAGGAAATTGCTGAATCTTTATTTCATGCTCAAGTTGCATTGAAGAAATCTCGCGGCGAAGTAGTTCTAACATGGAATTTGGAGGTGAAGTTGAGGAAATTTCTAGTCTTGAAGAGTTTAAAAGCTGCATTAACTCGTCCTGGTAAGTGAATATTTATAATGCTCTTAATAATCAGAGAACTTACATTATTAAATTGTTGTATATATACTTCAATGGCAGGAGTTTCCATTGTACACTTTTTTTAGAGCCTCTGATCCACAATGCAAGGAGATGTCTACTTCATGGACGCACTATGTGTTCGTTACCCATCTTTTGCATTTCCTTAAGGTGAGAAAAACAAAAAACTTCAAAACAACTGTTTATGTAACCAAAGAACAAGTAAACTTACTTGTGAAATGTCTTTCATTAATAGGTGGAGATTGTAAAAATGTCCAGAAGTGGGTAATGCAGAGAGAGTGAGAGTTGTACCAACATTCAAGATATACAACTTGGATTCGGATGAAGAGATTGTGTGTCCAAGCAAGGAAGCACTGGAGAAACAGTGAGGCACTATGGCTTTAGCAAACTCAAAACACTTAATGTTCACAAAAAACAAAAAAGAGAGAACTTGTCAGTAATCACTTATGATTTGATTCATTTATTGCTCTGTTAGGTTTAGAAATTGAAAGAGAGAGTTAGTCATGTGTACAGAGAGAAATTTTTGGCTATTTAGGTGATGAAACCATAAAATAAGCAGAGAGAAAACCATTCATTCATGTTGTCAAAACATTTTTCCATCAATAAAAAATTCTTTGTCTCTTTGATTAACACACTCGTGTGGTTTAAGTCTTAAGCAGTGTTACAGTGAGAACTGACACTATAATACATGCAGACCAAATGTGAGCCGTGTGTCGTAAACAGCTAAACAAAAAATCGTTGTTTCCTCAACGCACCTCCCTTCTTAACGGCATAGTTCTATTAACATGCCTGCCGTTTCAGGGACCACATTCAGACTTTAGACGACATGCAATTTTAAACGTATTAACAAATGTAAATGATTCTGAGAAAGAGCATGAGCAAAAAGACAAAGAAGATAACATTGAGATTCACTGTCTCTGTTTTTGTTTCCACTTCCAGAAACAGAACAGTGATCGTTTGATACAAGGGAAGATTAAGACTTTCAACGGTGGATACATAAAGTAAACTGTAATCCAACCGTAATAGCTTATTATTTTGGATACTAAAAAAAAAGAGATTATTAAAAAGGGGAGTAGAAAAAAGAGAGACTCGAAGTTTTCTTTTCTTTCAGTGACTCACTCACTCACTTAACCGGTGTTTTGCAATCCTGCGGCAATACCCTTCATGGTTAAGATAAGTGTGTCCTCAAGTCCAGGCGCGTATTCACTCGTGGGGTTAAGCTTGACGAGCTCTTGTGCTGATTTGCTTGATTGCATGATCTCTTTGGAAATGTGTGGTCGCAGAGTCACATTGTAGTTTGTATCACGGATCCTCTTCAATGTGTAGGCTTGGCAAACGTTGAGGGTCGTAATGTAAGAGTCACGTAGCCTTAGTCTCTGTTTCAAGTAAGGATCTCCTTCAAGAAGGTCTTTATGTCCAGCAGTCTGCAAAAGGCGAGTTTAGTGTTATTGCAAAAAAAAAAAAAAAACCAGGAATATGAAACAGAGTACTCTGTTTTTTTTTTGTGTGTCATACCTGGAGGACAGGTTCTTGTTTCATCAAAGTTGGCTCTGTTTTCTCCAAAAGCCCATAAATCTTCAGAGACAAGAAGTTTGTCGTACAAAGCAGCATCCCGGGGTCTCCCTTGGCGAACACCATTTCAATTATCGATGGTGACTCGGAAAAAGGGCCATTGTTATACATATCTTGCAGCATGTGGAGGTTTCTCACATCCTTCTTGATCGCATACCTAAAAGCTGCTCCGAAACCTAACCATACAGGAAGATGGAATCTTGTTTGCGTCCAAGCAAAGATCCATGGGATTGCACGGAGAGATTCATCCCACCGCTTGGTTTTCGCTTTGAAGGTCTACTTCCGATATTCATACGTCCATACTCCAGCTCCGGAGTAGCCTGCAAACCAAACCAACGGTTTGAGTTACTCAAAACACACAAAAACTTTGGTGAATTTTGGATTGATATGAATGAATACTTACGAGGCGGAAGTACTCGACAAATCGAGGTTCTTGGAAAACGACAGATCGGTATTCCTCAGTTGCACAACCGCCATTTCATCAAGCAAAGCACGCCACTCGGGTTTTGGTGAAATCGGAGGGTTCATTCCGTGCTCTAAAGTAGCTGCTGTGAAACGCTGAAGTGTTCTAAAGCATAAGTGTGCCTCTCCAAATGATTGCTCAATACTTCACCTGAACCGTGACTCGAAGAGAGCCATTAACTGTATCTGGTGGCTGAGACAATATAGCAAGATGAGTGGGACCACCTCCTCTTCCGACTGTGCCACCACGGCCATGGAACATAGTTAGCTTCACTCCATATTCTTAGCAACCTTCACAAGCTCTTCTTGAGCTTTGTATAGCTCCCAAGCAGCTGAGAGACGCCCAGCATCTTTCCCTGAATCTGAGTAACCGATCATAACCTCTTGTTTACCGTTAATACGGTTTTTGTACCAGTCTATTGAAAAGAGTCTTGCAACAGCGGAGCTGCTTCAAGTCAGCTAGCTTCTCAAAGAGTGGAACAACTCTAAGTGGATTTCACATGGCATTCACGCTGTAAAAGCTCAACCGCAAGCACATCACTAGGTGAAGTTGCCATAGAGATAATGTAAGCTCCAAAACAATCTGAAGGTAGCTCAGATATGACTTTGAATGTCCAGGACATCAGAAATTTCTTCGGTTTTGGGAAGATCAGGTCCGAAAAGTGGACGCTTGCCGCTTAGTTCAGCCAGAAGCCATTCCTGTCGGCCTTCTTCAGACCAGTCTCTATAGGAAGGAACCGATGTCCAAGTGCTTGGTATAGCATCCAAGACATCTGTGTGGCGTTCAGACTCTTGCCTGATGTCAAGTCTCACAAGGGAGAGTCCAAAGGTAGATACTTGCCTCAGGAAATCAAGAAGGCTTCCATCAGCTATTGGGCGGTCACCACATGAACATAGTGATCGGTAACAGAGCTCAAGAGGCTCCAAGAACTGCGTAAATAGAACAAAAACAGGAAACACAATTGAATTCCGTGAATATTTTGAGGGAAACAAGTTTAAGGCTGGGAAATAAAAAAATCTAATGGCAAGAACTAACAGTTAAAATCAGGCAACAATTTAGTAAAGAAACAACTTCAGAGTATAGAGGTTTCTCACCTGTTCCACATTGGTGAAAGTAGCTTCTTCGGGGATGTCAGAGATTCCGTTACTCAGCAATTGACGAACGCTCACGTGTGTGATACAGCTTATCCCTCACATCACCAAGAATCACACGGTATGGCTCAGTTGGAGGAATTGTCTTCCAAAATTCTGCATTAATTTTTTTAAGAAAAAAACTCAAGAATGCTAAAGCAATTCCATTGTATACTTATGTAGAAAATATCATTGCAAAAGCAAAAGCAATTTTTTTTCAATCTTGCAAGGGAACTATCAAAAGAAGGTTTTCTGCTTCTAACCTATGTAATGTTTTGCAGCATCTTTCCTTGAGTTCCTGTGGAGTTCATCCGCCCGGACACGGAACTCATCAGTGCAACGCCACATAGACAACTGCCAAGAAGAACATGAATGAATCAAGAGAATCATAAAGACGGAAAACCGGAAAATGAGTACATGTAAAAAGAGAAACACCTCAAACATCAGATTCTCGATTTGGTTATAGTAGAGATTGGCAGCCATCATTCTAGCCAACAAGCACACATCTCTAGTGACCTCAGGTGTGACCCTCGGATTACCTGAAATTCAGGTATGTCGATTAGAGGGTGAACAAGAGAGAGTTTTGTTAGTCAGTAGTCCAAAAAAAATGCATGTACCATCACGATCACCGCCCATCCATGAAGAGAATTGAATCAATGGGGCATTGTAAGGACACGTTCATCAATCCCGATGTTTTTCAGAGCTGTGTCCACACGGCGCAAGAACTTGGGGACACCTTTCCAGATTGTCTCGTGGAAATAACTCATTCCAGCTCTCATTTCATCTTGCGGGGTTGGAGGTGTTCTTCTAATCTCATCTTTCGGAATGCAGCTTGAATCTAAACAAACAGGAGAGTTTTAAAGGCCAATCTTTCCATTATCTGTGAGGATTATATCAAATCAACATGTTACAGTCCATGAGGTTGACTTCTTACCTCTCTTTGCAGAGACTCATCAAGCTCCTGCTTGTCATCAGGAGTAATGTCCTTTGCATAGAGTTGAGCAGTTGAGCAAGACAGTCCCTTATCCTGAGAAAACATTTAAGGTCACAGGTCAATACACAAGCAAAAAGAGTTGTCTCCAGAAAACAACTAAAGCCAAAAACTAACCTCCCATGCTTCTGAAGCAATGATCTACGCACAGACTGAGTAGGGTGAGCAGTCAAAACCAAATCCACAGTCTGATTCTTCAAGGCATCAAAGATCTCTTCAGGAGACTTACCAAGATCCGAAACAAGTCTCTTAAAAGTCTCTTCGATATCGGATTCAGTAGTTGCAGAACTCTCATCAACGAAATCACCCTTCTTCAACTTCTTGATCCTGCGGCGGTGAGCAATCTGAACCTCCTCAGCCAAGTTGGCTAAGTTAAGCATGTGAGAGAAAGCCTTGGAGATAACAATGGAGTCACCAGGATCCAAACTCGTTAGGACACTCCCTAGTTCCTCAAGCTTCTTAGGCTCACGCTTCCCTTCATACTCAGCAGAAAGCTCATAGCTCTTGAACCTGTGCACAAGATCATTTATCAATTTGCCTAAAATCTAAACAAAAAAGTTCCATCCTTTATACATAACTAACACGTCAACTGAATCTGATTCGAAGGTTAAATAATCTCTGCTCAATCCACCATTAACGGGTAAACTTAAAACAAGTAATCGAAACAAAGGTGAGATTTTTAGGATCTCTAGCAAATGGGTATCGATCGATTCAATCCAAGAAGCTAAATGAGATAATAAAAAGAAGAAGGATTTGTACGGTTTCACGGAGATCCTCGCCGTGTAAATCCTGGAGAATGTCGAGAAAGCGATCGAGGAGAAGAGCATCGTACTCAAAACCAAAACACTTCACTGACTTTAGCAGGAACGAGTTGCCGAAGCTGAGCATCAATAGATGCCATCTTCTCTATGTTCCGACCCGCCATTATCGCCGATCAATCAAATCTTCTTCTTCACCAGCCTCTAACTTTTTCTGTAATCATCAGATCAACAAGGACATATTATTTTTACGAAAAGGAAAAACAAAAGCAAAATCTGTTTGATAACTGACTCAAATTAAGCCGAAAAAACAGGGGTTTGATTTGGTAGACTGACCGAAAATCACGAAAAAAAAACAGAACTCAAACCGTAAAAAGTTCACAATTGATTTGATTGAGACAAACCTGAAAAGAAGAAATCTCTGCGGATTGTGCGAAAAGAAACCAAAATCGATGTTTAGAGAAAAGGGTTTAAGATGTGGAATCAGATTCAGAGATGAATGCGAATGTGAAAAGCAGAGTGGAGTATTTATAGACGAGCAAGTGCGATACACTGTGTCTGTGTGTTGGCATGAGAGATGCGCGCTTTTAAAGTAATATTTTTTTATTTTTCATATTTTTCTTAAGATTTTAGTATTTATTTTGTAAGTTATCTACATGCAGTAAGAAAATTATATAATTAAACACTGTCAAGAGCAGAAGAATATTCTAAGAAAACGAATCTTTTTATTAACTTCATGCCATTTCATTGGGTAAACTAAAAATTTGTTACTTACTTTGTACTAATTTGTATAATTGTATTGGTTGCGTTAGAATTCATAAATTACAAAGTAAGTACGAATGTGAAATGATTAAGGATAGTACTTTAATTGAGTATCTGGGAGTATGAAGCAAATTTGAGTTTTAGTGGTCAAAGATCTAATGGATCTTGGTTTCTTAATTATTACAGAAAATCAAGGAATTACCTAATAGGGTTTTTGTATGATCTTAACTTTGAAAAAATAAAAGAATGACAGCAATGAAAATAGACAATAGTTGTTTTTACCATTAAAAAAAAACAGGATCGTGTGAGCTCGTGCATGCATTTTGTCTATGCACGAAGATGCACAAATCTCTGACTCTAACTTTCACATATGATCAAGTTGACTTTCAAAAAAGTTAAAAATTTAGTTTAAGTACTTGATTTGCTATGTACAAAAATAACTAGGTTTTTCTATCTACTGCTACCCAATAGAGCAGTTATATATATAATTTATGTTATCTCAACTCTAAGAGAATATGTTGAAGAAAAAAAAAAATGGTAATCAATAACTAATAATTGTACTCTTTTTTTTTTTTTGCTTTGCTATAGGTTCAATCTTTTTTTCGTCGTCCTTGCTTTTACAACAAGTTTAAAGGATATATGCACTAAATAGCCAAATTTTAGAAATTATTTACAACAATGATGCAATGGTAAAGTCGTAGTCTCGTAGATAAGATTAGTATTTCCGCATGTGGTGGCCGAATAACATGTTATTTTATCTATTGTCACTATTATAACATGTCATGTAAACTTTTGTTTTGTTATTTTAAAAAGTAAAACGGTTACATTTATATAATTGAAATTTATATCAATGATCTTCGTTCAATGTGGCATACGAAATGAACAATGAACACATTAAGGTTTCTATTCTTACGACTATTAATGGAATATTCGAATCACTGAGTACGTCATTATAATATGTACTCAAGTCAACCAAGTTTGTGATCTCTTCTTAAAAAAAAAAAGAGTTTGTGATCTGTATCGCTTCGTGGGTTCTTGTCCGTCTGTTCGAATATTCGATTCAGTTTTTTTGATTCATTTTCTTGCAGTATCACATTTAAAAATACATCTAATACGTTGCAAATTTTTAAAATGGTCGTTTCAAACTATCGAAATATTAGATTTTGGCCTGTAAAGTGTTGTGGAATCACTAAACTCTATACGCTTATGATTATGAATTTAAAACTAGTATTAGAAAAAAATGGCTCTTGGGTTAGACTGATTCGTTTAAACATTTTTATCATTGACCCTTTTGTATTTCTTTATAGGTTTAACAAATCATGCCGTCTTCTTAATTTGAAATTTAGCAATAATGCTGAATTGATTATAGATCGCTTTATGAAGTAAACAAATTAACAATGTTCAATTATTGGATAAATATATTGTGGATGATACCTACACTAATATAAACTTGTGCATTAGTGGTTAGGTGTGGGGTCAGTGTCGGTGATAATCCGGTTGACGTATTAGATGATAGTTAACATTATTTATCAGAAACATTCGGGGAGGGTGACGACAATAGTGTTTAATTTATATTTCTCTGTTTTAAATTTTTTATCAAATAAAACTTACAAGTGGTGGGATGATTCATGGAAGCAAATACGATGAGGCCATGGTGTGACTATATTTTACAAGTTAAACGTTATATGTTGCGATCACATTTGACTTTAGATCATAAAGATTATCTTATCTTCTTCTTCTTTCAATTCTTATGCTCTTTTCGTTTCATCTGGTTTCACTCTCTGCAGTAGAGAGTTTTATTTATCTTTTAACTAGATTTAGTTACAATTAGCTTAAGAAGTAAAGTAGGCCAATTAAGTTACTGGTTACCGCAGTAATACGTTCTGAGTTTGTAGTTTAATTCGGTTTACAATCAGAAGTCCGAACCGGAAAATTGAATTAAACCGAATCAGAGGGAACACAAATCTGATTCAGGCTGAGATCAGAGACTTCTCTCTTCTGCGTTATCTTTTGCAGTCCATGATACAATAATACAAGCTACTTGGTTTCAGGAGAGAAGACACATCAGATACAGAGATCTAGAACGAACCATGTGAAAAAAATGGAATAAGAACCAGAGCAAAGGTTTGAGATTAACCAGATTAATGTTTAGTTAAACTTTAACCAGAGTCATATCTCCAAAAGAAGCAGCAACATTTGAAGCCTATGAGCAACTCAATACATTGTTAAGAGTTAAGCACAGCTTGGTCCAGAATATTGGATATCCTCAGGCAAGCCAAACAAAAACTGGACAGCTTCGAATGTATCTCATAGCAAGTTACCAACTCTCGCATCAATTATGGTCAGACATGGAGCCTTTTCTCTGCTTCCTGCACCAACTTTAAAAGATTCAAACATATGTTCACAAGCTTAAAACGGAAGATTTCTACAGCGTAGGGACTTGTCTTACTTGTCTGTTCAACATTTCTCAGGCAACCAATTCAGATTCAGCTTTTTCTGCAGGAACATGATTTTGGAAAAGTGTTGGTAATCCAAGTTTCTAGCGGTTTCAAAGAAATGAGCCACGGCTTCCTCTGGTGTCCCTACCAAGACACCGTGTCCTAGATTGAGAATATGCCCTTTTGGTCCAGCACACTTCACAACTCTGACACACAACAGACATTTCTTTCAGTTTCTTGAATTGAGTTATAAGCATTACTCTATGTTCAGCTGAACAAAGTTACAACCTACCTCTCAATTTCTTCGTTAAAGCAGGAAGCGGAGAGAACAGGTAGGCTGGATCAACATTTCCCTGCACACTAACCTCGCTTCCCAATCGCCTCCTTCCATCAGCCATATCTACAGTCCAGTCAAGTCCAATAACATCAGCTCCAGTTCCTTTCATTCGCTCAAGAAGGCCACCATTTCCATTGATGTAGAAAACTATCGGCGTATCTGGACATCTTTTTTTTTACAGCATGAATGATCTGGCGAGCCAAATGACAAATAAAAAACCTGTTAAACGCCAAAAGATAATCTTTCAAGTCCTCAAGTTGAAACCACAATATGGTACCTCTTCGATGTAGGGTTTGGACCAGCGCTCCCACATCTCAGGAGTCAGTTGGCCACCCCATGAATCGAATATTTGTATCAGTGAGCTCCGTGCTCAACTTGGTAAACAACATACTCAGTAATGGCTTTGGTTAAATGAGATAATAGAGCTTTCAATACATTTGGTTGCAGTGTGGCACATATTCTTTATGACTGTATATGTCCGAGTTGTTCCCCCTTCAACAATATATGTTGCAATTGTCCAAGGCCGCTCCAACGAAACCCAATACCCGCAGCATGTTCCCCAACCTTCAAAACAAGAATCCATATTCACAAAACTGGAAGGCATTTGGTTAAGTCTAGGGGAAAGCTGAGAAGAAGAGTAAAACCACCTCTCGTCTCAAAATCTTGAGAGAATCTCCAACAAACTGTAGTTTCTCGAATCAATGGGATGCAATCTCTTTAAATCTTCTCAGTTCGGATGGGAGATTGGATCACAGGGCCTTTCACCTCTTCGATGTCAAAAGGCACACCGAATGCAGGTAAAGGCGTGAGGATGTCAGAGAAAATGATGACACCGGCTGGTCTGAATGCTTGCCAAGGCTGCAAAGAGATTTCCCGATTAGATCAGTGTTCTCTGACCTCTCTCTGAAGGACGGGTGTTTCTTGGCGAGCTTTTGGTAAACAGCCATATACCTTCCTGCTTGCCTCATCATCCAAGCTGGAGGACGACTCACGGCTTGCCCTTTCGCAGCCTTAACCAATAGTGGAATCTGATTGAACATTTTGAACAAAATGTGTGTATATGAGAAAGCTTCTTTAGACTTAAAAAGGACAAGAGCACAGATTCATTGGTCCTTTATGATCAATTATTAGCTAAATTTCAACATAAGGGACCTAAAACTAGAAATCTCATCTTCTATTCGACATGCCCAAAAGAGAAAGAAACACCATTTCAAGGGCAACATCTAAACTCAAGCGCAATTCAAAAATTTGACATTCCAATGAGCCAGCTAGTACCCGATCGACTAAATCATTTCAAAATCGAAAAGCATAATCTTGCAGAACTTGAATTGCGAGAGATACGTAACCGGAAGAGGAGGAGCAAGCCACGACAAACTTCCGAGCAGCAATACTGTGTCTTTTCGGGTAACAAACCAATCCCACATTGAGGGATTGGATCGAAATCCAATCGGCAACGACAAGCCCGAGGAGTAACATCTCGATGAGCTACAAGCACTGTGTACAACAGAATTTAGCAAAAGCAAAGTACTAAATTGGCACAATAGATTCGAAAGACAAAAATTTAAACTTTATCGGACCTGGTTGGCGATGATAAGCTCATTTTCAATCAGAGAAGAACCTAATAGTTTAAAGATCAGGTGCTTTCTGATTTTGCCCGCTTCTTGGTCCGGTCTGGTCTGGTGTCTCCTTATCACCGAAAGAAGAGACGAGAGAGATGCGATTCAAGGTTTTGACCTTCTTAAGTCAATCACTTCGACGGCTGTAATGTAGCCACGTATGATATATCTGGATAATAGTAGGACCCACCTTCCCGGATTTCTTTGTTTCTTGATGTTTTGCGCAGAATTTACATAACTCAAGATACCGGTTTACTGTGAGATAAATTCAAATCTATCGATTGATAATTGATAAATCATTTTACCACTGATAATAACCGGTTCTATTACAGTTTACACAGTTTAGATACCGGTTCACTGTGAGCCTTGTTGACCAGGAAGATAGTGAAATGGAAAAAAAACAGAAGAAACATAAAGAAACTGTTTATTTTTATTTGTGATGTTTCTTTTGCAACTGAGTCTGGTTATATATCAAGCCAGTAAGGGTTGTTGTCTTGGTAGATGCTCGAGCCGTGGCGGCAGCTTCAGTGTTGTCTTCTTGCAAACAGTTTCAGCCTTTCATATAGAATGGTGTAGTTGGAGCTACTGATGTTTCTGACGTAACATTGGTCACTTCCAACATAGTTTATACACTTGTTTTGTGCTTCCATATCCATTGACCACTAAGTTATTCTTCACCACCATTACTCCTTGCCCTTCTTGTTTGTTTTCAAGCTTGCTCTTGAATGTTCTATCAACCCGTTGTCGCTCTCTGATCTCTCCTCGTTAAATTGCCATCTTGACATTCGCAATCTCCAGAGAAGTGTTATTCTGCTGCTCCAAAGAGTCAGAGTCGAGGTAAAAAGGAAAGCTCTTGATGGATTTCGCGCAGTAGAGGCTTCTCGAGGCTCTCTTGGCGTGAATACGATCATCGGCTTGGATCAACTGATCTATGATCTGCATGTTCCCATCTTTACCTAAAACCATCTTGTTTTCGTAGCTAAATTCTTGATTGGCATTAGTTATAATGTCCCCATGAGAAGATTTGACCAACCCGATCGAAGTTATCGACCTCTTTGCTTTCGTAGTGAAGTTTCCATTCAAGCCTTTAAAATCCGAGACAGAGCTAATCTCCAGAGAGCTTCTACTGAACTCCAACACCTTCCCTTCAACAATCTCCTTCTCTCGATCCAACCAAAGATGCAAATTCGCATCGATATACCAAACATTCAACGCATTTGTCACACTAAACCCCACCTTATGAGTCTTCCCATCCAACAAACTTCCCAAGAACGGTGTGATCTCGATATCATAACTCGGCAAATCAAAAGAGCCAATAGCAGTGATTGGTCTCCAGAGCAAAGGATTGATCCCACCGGTGAAAACAACAGGGAAAGGCCAAACCGCACCAGCAATTTCACCGTCAAGACTAACCACAACTTCTCTAAAAGGTCCATTACCAGCAACACTGAGATTATTAGCAGTAACGTAATCATTAGGAAGATTTCCATACCAAAACTCATCATTCTCATGGAAAGAAACATAAACCTCAAGAACAGCTCTATACACATTCCTAGGAATTTCAAATTCCTTATACTTAGAATCACTCGAATTCACAATTCAAACCACAATCCATCGTTCAACGGAAGATTTCTCGAAATCGGAGGATCATATCAGCTCGAGGAGAGCTATAACCAGAAGGATCTTCAAGATTTCTTTCGAATGATAGAAATGGAAGATCACATCAACATGGTAAACACCAGTATAGGTTTTATCAATAAGATTACCAAGATAAACAGAGAGAATCTGAGTCTCGTTCTTGACGAGTAAAGAGTGATACTTAGTCACATCTTTCTCAACAGACCAAACAATTCCGTTTGGTCTAGGCTCGGCGGTAGCTCCGGAGAATCTCAACACCGTCAAGCCAAACACCAAATCCGATCAAATTGTCTTCCTTGGCTGGTGGATTTGAATTCGAGGACGATTTTGGAGAATTCTCGAGAGGAGCAGTGAGAGGGAAGAGTGTAATTGGAGAGAACCGGTGGTTTAGCGTAAGTGTAGCCAAAGTCATGGTGGAGAATTCGATACGAACACGGTGGTTGAGCTGTCGGCAGATTTGGGACGGGAGGTTTTTGAACTTCGAAGTAGCGAGTAGGGGATTTTGTGACGTTTTGGAGAGGAGAAGAGAAGAGAGAGGAGAGAACTGAGGAGGTTGAAAACGTGATCTGGTTTCGTGAAGATCGGAGACGGCGGAGAGAGAGTGGAACGGCGAAGAAGAGACGGTGAAGAAGATGATTGGTGGAGGAAGAGAGGAAGTCCATGACGTTTTTGCTTTTGGTCTCTGGTCTGGTATCAAACTTGATTTTAAAGAATGCTATTCTAATGATCAATTAACCTAATCTTTTGTTGAATAATTAAGTGCTTCCAGAATAACAAAAATCTTACATTTATAATCAATGATTAACATTTCGATTTGTTTCTTTCTTGGGATCATTGATTTAACATTCCTTGTAATATTAAAATAAGGACCAGCAGCATCCAAAAAACTGTATTTAATAGTACAATGACCAATTACCCCTCCTTGCTTTGTAGTCTTAACTCTTTAAGTACTGTAAGCATTTCGATCATTGATGCTAATTTTGCAATGCCACTTATTGAGTTACTTCTTCCTAAACATAGAAATTTATTTAAAATGTATTATCATACATATATATTGTTACTTTCTAGTAAATCAATCGCAAAACCGTAGCATATAAAGAAAAACTATTAGTTGAATCTTGAAGCAAAGTAACAACACTACTAGTTACAATCATATGATCAAATCCAACTATCAAAAGAAAAACATAAACACTGACTACTACACTTAAGAAATCATTGCAAAAGTTCTTGTATTTGTTTAGAAAACATCATTTGTTCTTATAATCAATTAGAGACTTGGCTTAGCTATGGACAAAAGGTTTGAGAAAAAAATGAAGAAAGTTGTTGAAAATATAAGTTAGTTTAGAGATACTTTTAAGAGAGAGATCGGTTGAGCATAGAGACTTGGCCGGAATCTCCATTGAGTAAGAAGACTTCAAGAGGATGTAAGGAGACGATGAATTTGATCCAAACCTGTACGCTGGCTGCAACAATTTGCTACCTTTTGCACATTGAATCGTAAGAAGACGCGGCCCCGTTCTCATCTGCCACACCTGGTTTCGATTCGATTGGATGCATAATCAATTAAGTATACAATCAAAACAAAGATACTGTTATCGAGAGAAGACGATGTTGTTACCTCGATGATGCCTTTGCGTGGAGCGTGAATGGCTAAGCATAGACAGTAATCACTTTTTACTGGTTCTGTGTGAATTACAGATTTTCCTTTATCTTTTTTGGCTAACATCTCCATGAACACGCAGCTTGCGTCACGATAACCCTAACAAAGAAAGATCGAATTTTAAAGACAACAGAGGTGAACTTTAAGCGAAGAAGTATTAAGGATATTAAAACAAACCTTCCATAGCCGGACAACTACAAGAGCTTGAGTGTCGAGCAGAAGTATTCGACCAAGAGAATCTGTTATCGCAGCTAACGTCCCACTAGGGGATAACGTGAGCTTCTCGCCTTTCCTTGGGTAGTCCTTTATACATGTCAAGGATGATGCTGCACCAACAATTTGACAAAGGTTAAGCGCCATAGATGGATGCTCAAAAATTGAAGGGATTAAAGGACGCAGGAAATCTACCTCGAGCGAATGCCTGAGTCTTGGCTTCTGGCTTTCGCTTTGGTGATTGATCATTACTTCTCCAGATTTAGTTTTAGAAAAAAGAAGCTATGGTTGAGGCAGCTGCAGGCACAAACTTTTGATAGGATCGCTCCAACAAGTGATCTCCCTCTATCTTCTGAGAGCATTCAAAGAAGCAAGACATAAATACTCTAATTAACAAAAGTGATCATAAAAAGGTTTTTTGATCAACAAAAGAAACCATGAAAGTAAAATAGGGAAAACATCACTGAAGATTACCAACCTGATAGCTGAGATCACAGCATCCTCTCCAATGGTCACTGCACAATAATAACGTTGACTTGACTGTCAAAGAATAAAATCAGCCAGATTTATAAACCGGAATAAACTTCAAAAAGGTCTCGGTATCAGTGAGTTCATAGTTTGAAACAATCAAATAGACAATCACTAATCACCTGAAGTTCCAGTAACGGAGGCGCATTACGCCAGTGACAGTAGCATCAACGCACACACCAATTCTTGTTGACATTCCATATCTGATACGGTAGTCGTTGGTACAAAACTACCACTATCTTCTGGATCTCCCTTTCTATTCTTTTGGTCCCAAAAATTAGAATTTTTCTCTTGAAACCATTTCTGAAGCATACTCTACGATTACGAAGACCAAAATAAACAAATCTCAGAACTTACCTAAACGTCACCTCAAAATAGTATACATTAATAGAATGCTTTTTCAACACTACCTGAATGTTGGAGCCATCAAAGCGGGCAATAATACCAGGCAATACTATGCAAATCTCTTCAGAGGATGTCTCTTGCATCAAATCTTTCTTAGTTCCTCGAACTCTTATTTTCAAGATACGACTTGGGTGTACCATCTGTAAATACATACCAAAATAAGTAATTCATTCATAAGATCACCTTAAAGTAAACTTAAGAACTGCCACAGTGTTTCAGACAACATTGTTCTTAAAACAATGTTCCCGCAGTTTAAGCAAACATCAGTTCCCAAATCGATAAATTAACAATGCAGACCAAAAGATTCAGAATTTCACCTGCTTATGAATCAGATCACCGGCAACAGAGTAACCAAGAGATACCCACAAGAAGTCCCTGCAACGACAACTCTGACGTCATCAAACACTAACCATTCGATCGCCGTAATCGACTCAGCCTCAATCGGAGACAGATCGGGTCTGATCTTAACATCGAGGCGCATCAGGATCACCCCAATTCACAATCAAGATGAGAATCGATTGGCTAGGGCTAAAGAGTGAGAATCTAGTGAACACAAAAGGTTTGGATTGTTCACGAAGCCACCCTTCTTTACCCGCACCGAGCTCGCTAAGTTCCTCACACGCGATGCAGCCTAGTTCCGTCAGGTGGATCCTCTTCGCCATCGCAAAATCTATTGAAACCAAAAAAACAAAAAAAGAGAAGATTTTTATTTTTCTCTGGTTACTAATGGGCGCAGCGGCAAAACGCCGTCGTATCGTTTACCTTGTATTACTACAGTTTCTAAACCATCTCTAAGCTGTTTCGGAGATGAAAATGCTTGTGTCAAGATTTATCCTTTTCTAAAACCCTGAACCCTAGCTTCTCCTTCCGTAGATCTCCAACTCAATTCCGGCGTACGGAGGATCGTTTCGGTTTTACCGGTTATTACCGAGAGGAATTATGCGTTCAGTGTCAAAAGGTCGGAGCTTTTTCTCAGAGAAGTGGTGGATTCCGGCGAGACGTACGGGCATTGGCGGGGAGGAGCAAGAAGAAGCTTGGAGGAGGTTCATCGGTGGGAGGATAGAAGGAGAGTGCTGATATGAGGAAGCAGGTGAAGAGGAATGCTCGTGATAAGTCCGAAGAAGCTAGCGGAATCTTTGCTTTTACAGATTGTATAATAACCCTGACAAGAGTCGAAAGCAAGATTCTTCAGTAGTCATCCGGATAAGTTACGGAAGAGGAGCTTGAGATGATGGGCTTGGTTACGATAGGATGGTTCGGTTTATGGATAAGGATGACCCGAGATTGCGTCATCCTTATGATTGTTTAAGTATGGAGAGTTTGGACCTTACTCGTGGCGTGGTGTTGTGGTTGGTGATCCGGTTCGTGGTACTATATTGATGAGTGTGTTACTATGATTGGTGAAGTGGAGAATCATGAAGAGTTGAGAAGATGAGCAGCATGAGATGAATTTAGCTTTTCAGAAGAGGGTTAAGGAGTTGGATTCGAATGTTGGTTTGAGGTATTTTTGGGATATTGTTAGGCATCCGAACTGGAGACTCAGTGAGTTGCCGTGGGAGCAATGACGTTGGTTAGCGAAAGTGGTTTGTAGGAAGCTGATAAGAAGCAGAGGTTGGATAAATGGAATTTGATGGGAGATTGGGGAATAAATCTCGTCTTTGATATGTCAATGTGCGGCTTGGTTTAGACCTGATATTGTGTATGTGAAGAAGCCTGTGTTTCAGTGTAGGTTTGAGCCTCAAGAAGATTTCTTCACTCGCTTCTCCCTTATTTAACCCGGTAACGGAATCTGGATTTGTGTGTGAAGTGGAGGATGATGAAGTAGAGTGAGTGAGTACTTATTATGGAGGGTTGTGTAAGATGGTGAAGGTGAGACAGACTGCTTTTGTGGATGATGTGGTGAATGCTATGAGAAGTCGAGTGATGAAAAGAAGTCCAAAGTGTTGAAGTTCTTGCTTGGAAACCACCCGAACGAGTTGTTGCATCCGTATACAAAGAGTGGAAAGCAAGCTGGAGGAGATGGAGTTAGGGTGTGATGCTCCAGATGAAAATGAGGATGAGATTAGCATTAGTGGAAGCTCAGAGAAGGCTGCAATTCTCAGAATGGATTGAAGATGAAGCGACAATAACGATGATGATGGTGAGGTGGAGGAAGAAGATGATGATGATAACATGGTTGTGGGTGGAGGGAAACGATGAAGAAGACAGTTTGGAAGATGAATAGAGGAGTCGGATCCCGAAGAGGATGAGAGGTACTGGGAAGAGCAGTTCAACAAAGCGACAAATAACGGGAGAGGATGGAGAAGCTTGCGGAGATGAGTATGGTGGTGTCAGATAAGTTTTATGAGAAGCAGTTAAAGGCATTGGAGGAAAGAGAGAAGGAGAGATTGAAGGAGATGAGTTGGAAATGAGAGGTAAGAAGGCAAAAGTGAAGCCAGAAGAGTGGAAGACAGTAGGATATGGAAGGTGGATGAAGAAGATAAAGAAGAGTAGGATCCCACCTGAGCTGTTTCTCCGTGCTGCTGTTAGGCCTTTTGTTTACAGAAACCTTGTCAAAGAGATTGTTCTTACAAGACACGCCATTTTGGAAGGCGAGATTGGTCAGAAGAGTGAATTTCAGGTCCGAGTCTATTTGATTAAAGAATGAAAAAGACAGTGAGTATTTGATGTATGTTAATAGCATCATAAGAGTTTAATCTTCCCAATCTCATGTGTAAATGAGTCGGAAATTTGAATTTTTTTTGTTATCAATGGTTTGTTATGTTGATTCTGCAACCCTGCCTGTTAAAGGAGTTTCTTTTTCCTGGTTCAAGAAGCTCTAGTTGACGCTTAAATATCAGTAATATACAAAAGAGTGTTAAACACATACTGATAGTTTGATCACAAACGCATACTACTAGTTTGATTACAAAAGCATATTATTAGTTTGAACACAAAAAAAGCAAAAGAAGTTGCAAAGTGCAAAACATAGGCACAAGACTGGTACAGCTAAGTCCCTGCCGATGTACTTGCGGGGATAAAGTATTCCTCCGGGGTATAAAACTTTAGCCCACTCGCCTGCAACCAAAGAGAGTAGTTGTCTATGAGGAAAGTCGAGAAAATATATATGGTGACTTAAAAAGAAAGGTATAGGTATCGTCTGAGATGTCTGATGTTTGTAACAAATACCTGTTGCAAATTTGATGTCAGCATCGCTGTGATCCATTTTTCTTCCGGCTGCATCCCCAACGTAGAAGGATCTGATGAGCACAGCACAATAGTCAGTATCAACAAAACAAAAGTGTGTAAGAACACAAACTGATAGAATTTAGTCAGGAAGGCTGGTGGACAAATGAGTGTAATCTTCCAGCAGTGCTAGAAGTTTCAGGTATCTCCAAGTTTTTAGGAGCAGGTGGGGAGAGAAACTAACTTATCCATATCAATTGCAATTCCAGAGTTAAAGTGCTTCTTCATGAGTTGCCACATTCCAGCCTTGGGTTTGCGGTATAGGTCATCTTTACCACCTTTACCAACAGAACTTGAGACTCCACAGGCAATAACACCTGTTTGCAGAACAATATCATTTATAATCTTCACAATATCAGCAACAATGTAGGAAATTGGCACTTTCGAAACTTTGAAAATTTGGGTGATAGCTAATAAGAACATTGCAAGACAGCATCACTATTTTCTCAGTGATTATACCTAAATGCCAGAACAAATCATTAAAACCATATGAACTAACTTCAGAACAAGGGCATTGAATACATCATAGTTTCTTTTCATTACTCATAATAATAGCTAGGGTTTGTTGAAGCAGTGTTCTTGAGTAGATACAATCACGTTCTTACTTATGAAAACAGAAGAGCACTTAACCTGAATGGGGACCTTCACGCGCTCGATAAAACTGTTGAGACGTCCAATTTTCGAAATCTACAGCAGCTTGCCGCTTGTTCTTCCATCGATCAATGTTGGATTCATTTGTGAAAATAACCTGTTGAGCATTTAAAATCAGCTACTCTATAATCTATATAAACAAGACTATTGAGTAGTAAGACTTAATTCTAGCTGAAAATAAGTACCAGCTTATAGCCTTGATTGTACAGACTCTGCAGTTTTTCAGGAATGGAAGGATACATTAGGGACCATGCATCTGCCCCTACTCTGAGAAAGAAGGAAATATAAAACATTATGACAAATTACAATGTTTCTTAATTTCCTTGAAAGACGAGGTTCATACATAACACCATTAAAAGGATAAACAAAAATTGCAGAAATGTAATCACTTGAGATAGAATGAATATCCCAAAGGTCCAGAAATCAGAAACGGCCAACCTACTAGGTTAGAAACGGAGAAAACAGTAAAATTCTGGGTGACCAAAGAGCTTCTTACATTTTCACAGATGTTTTTGCAAGGCATCCATCAAAGTCAAATGCAGCTATTTTCTCTGAATCATTAAGACCATCATCCTGTTAAAATGCAACAAAGGTATATACCATTAGGCCATAACACATTACCATATATATTCAAGATGCGTCGTCATATCTGAAGCTGATTTCTCACCCGCTCAAGGAATATAACTGTCTCAAAAGCTTTCCATTTTGGTACTAGATTGGCATCCTGAGAAACAAGAAGATTAGCAGCCAGAAAGAAAAAAGAACTCGAAAAATAATACAAATCCCACAGCTACAAACTCCCACGAAGAACATTTAACACGGGAAAACATGGCTTTAACCTAATAAACAATATAAGTGCTTACCCTGTACTTATCCTTCACATCAGAAGCTGAAAGAGAGATTTCTGTTTCAACCTCGACCTGAGAAGTCGACTCACTGATGTTCACCTGAATAACACAATATTTCAATATCATTCAGTAGAATTTCTACACAATGAAGAGAGTGGCTACCATTAGCAGGTATTCAATACATATCATTGCTTGTATACCTTATGTGTTTTAGCCATGTGTTGTTTCGCTTTAGTTAGCGATTCATCTTTTTCCATCAACTCCCCAACCTTTATAAGAAACAATAAATTACAGGTCAAGGAACATTCCAGTTTAACAAAATTATAGTATTAAAAGATGTGATTATAGCTAATTATTAACCTCGGAATGTTTTCTTTTGTTTGTCTCCTCAGTTAGCTTATTTTTAGCTTCAGATTCATCATTATCTTCATCCATCTTCTTCCATCCCGCAACGAAATGAAGTAAGAAGTTAGTTTAAAGAAGCCTTCAATGTTAAAGTTCTCTACATTTTCTGAAACGACTATAATACTTATTTTCTGGTTAAGACATAAAAACACTTTAAAACAGAATGCTTTCGTAAAAGAAAACAAATATTATTGAAAGGGGTTTTGCTAGTACATCTACCAAAGTCCTCTTCCCGCATTGTTGGACCAATTCCTTTAATGCATCCTGATCACCACTCTGTTTATAATTAAAAATAAATCAAATATAAAGATGTGTTAGCACAAACAAGGAAACATACATGTTTGGGTGTTAATTTAGCATGACACTGAAAACGATGTCAAGCCAACCTGACAATACATTTAATATATACCAACATTTATATTCCAAATAGCATTTTCTGTTTCGAATGATCCTAGTTACCAGACGATATATGCAATAATTCAGAAACTCTATCCCCTGAATCTTTAAATACAGACTAACCTGCAGTTCTGAAAATCCACCAATGTCCTCTATAGAACCAATTGGATCCGAGTCGACAGGAAAACAACCCACGTGATGCCATTGTGTCATATCAAAGCCACGGAAGTTTCTGGTCACTAGTCCCAACCTCAGTTCCTTTGCAGCGATAGTCTGAGAGCACTTCTTGCATGTCGATCTGCTTGATTTCGCATACTCAGAGATAACTTTTGAAGAATCAGGAGAACCTGTCGTCTCCTTAATCTTCTGCCCACTTATTTCATCAGATGCAGGATTTTTAATCTCTTCATCCTCATTGACCTGCTTTATTTTAACCGATACAAGCAGTTAAGAAAAGTACTTCAGTCAAAACTCTACATCTAGATGAGCAAATGAGACTGAAGTCTGCATATAACACTATCATTTTTTCCTCGCACAAAAGAAGATTGTCGCTTCCAGAACTTACTTCTTTTGCAGGCTCGCCAGGTTGTTCCACCAATTTTGCAACCGAAGAATGTTTTCCCTTTTTTGTCTCCTCCGTTATCTCATTATCAGCTACAGATTCATCCTCCCCTTCATCCATCTTCTGGACATCCTGCCAGAAAAGGAAGTAAGAAGTTATTTTCAAGAAGCCTGAAATGGTAAAGTTCTCTACATTTGCAGAAACAGACTATAATACCCATATTCCGGTTAAGACATGATAACAATTCAAAAAAATAATCCTTTCATCAAAAAAAAAAGAGAAGAGAAATATTATGACAAAGGATATGGCTAGTACATCTATCAAAGTATCCTTCTCGCTTAGTTCGGCCAATTGCTGTAATTCCTTCTGGTCACCTTTCTGTTGAGTATAACAAATGAATCAAATATAAAAGATATGTCAGCGAAGTTACCATATGACATATGCAATCATCAAAAAGCTCTATCCCCTGAACTGAAAATTCCTAATCTGTAAATAAAGACTAACCTCAAGTGATGAATATCCACCAACGTCCTCCACAGAATCAATCGGATGCCAATCAATGGGAAAACAACCCAAGTGATGCCAGCTTGTCACATCAAATCCCCTGGCGTCTCTAGTCACCAGCCCCACTCTCAGATCCTTTGAAACGATTGTCTGAGAGCACCTCTTGCATGATGACCTGCCCGATTTCGCATAATCAGCAATAACTTTTGAAGTTGGCGCCTCGTTAAACCTCTTCGGCCCAACTAAAGGCTTCTAACCTTTTCCTTCTTCTCATCATGCTGCTTTAAATTTAACCGACACAAGCAGTTATGAGAAAGTATATAAGCAAATGAAACTAAAGAACGTCGCTTTCAAATTCTTACCTTTTTAGCAGGTTCTTGACCACATTGTTCCACCAATTTCGTCAAAGCATCCTGATCTTGTTTCTGTAACCATAAGCACAATCATTAACACAAATACCCAAAAACAAGTGAAAAGCTTTAGACGAAAAAAACCCTAGGGAGTCCAAAATACAGAAATGTAAGGAAACCCTAACCTCTAAAACGGATAAGCCTTGAATATCATCAACGGAAGCAATCGATTCCGAATCAGTCGGAAAACAATCGAAATGGTGCCACCTGGTCATGTCAACCCCGCCAGGTCCTTTGCTAATCAACCCTAACCTAAGAGATTTCACAGCTATCTTCTTCGAACATGATTTACAAGACGATCGATTGGACTTCGCGTACTCAGCAACGACCGGCATAGTCTTCGTCGCTGTTGTTCTCAAAATATAACTGTGGTTGTAGAGGAGATACTGTGGTTGTTCTCGGAAGAAGAGAGTGGAACAATTTATAAGGAGAGGGAAGAGGAAACGAAGAGACACGAAGGGGACTACTGTAATCATATAGCCATGGTGGAATTCGAGAAAAAGGTGATTAGGGTTCTGTTCTCTTTCCCGCCATTCTCGAAAGTAGAAGTCTGTCGGTAAATTGATGTCGGCCATAGGGGTATAAATGTAAAACTAAATATATACGTTGCTTTCGGGCCAAACCTCAGTGTCTCCTCTTTTCCTCTTTTATTGGGCCGATTTGGCTGTTTTGGGCTTTTAAAGGCCTAAATAAGAGCACCTTTAACGGGGTCTCTTAACGGAATCTTAGCAAAAATCTTAACAATAAAATAATTAAAATTAAAACAAAATAAAGAAAAAAGCTAAGAAGGTCTCTTAGCTAAGAGCTTTTTTATGTGGTAAAAAGCGATGACGTGGCAGATTTAATTGGTGAAATTTAATGACAAAAACCACAAAAAAAAAAGATCCGATAATTTTTTCGTTTCTTCATTTCATCGTCTCTCTTTGTCGACTTCCAACGGGAAATCGATCCAAAACGACTCGATCCGATGAATTTTGAGGAGATATGTGTCGGAAAATCGGCTTTGATCTGTCGTTATCATGTTGTATATCGTGTTGAATTCGGGTTAATTGATGTGGTGTCGAAATTAAGGTTTTCTGAAATTGGGAATCGATTCTGATCCGTTTCTCTGTGTTTGGCGAGGATCGTTGGAGAACTTGCAACAGAGAGATTTCGATGGATTACGGAGTTAGAGTTTCTTCAAGGTAGTTCATTGAACCTCTGAATTTTGTTTTAGATTAGGTATAGAAATTGAAACAATTATTAAGTTTTCTAAAATTAAAAATTTTATTTTTATATTAACATTTTTTTTTTCTAAAACCACATGTTAAGAACTTACCATTAAAGACACATAAAATCTTAAAATAAAAATACAATCTCTTAACTATAACTTTTACAAATTTAATACTAAAATATTCTTAAGAGCCAAAATTAAGAGTCCATTGATAATGTTGCTCTAAGCATTTTATATAATAAGATAGAAAAAAGCATTATATGCAATAATAATAATAAAAAAATCTATGTCACCTCTTCAACCAATCAAAAACCCTATGACTATAAGCAAATTTATGTCACCTCTTCGATTAAAAGAAGACTATTTAGAGGAAGAATCTTTTTTTTTTTGGTATCAATGTTTAGGGGAAGAATCTTAAAACTAAAGCAAACAAAATGTTTGGAATCGACGTCGTGGTAGGAGGACGCGTACCATACCCAAGTGTCCTCCTGCATGTCTTCAAGAGACATGACCATGCCACGTTCACTTCATGTCTTCTTTTTGTAGCTGACTTTTCTGTTTTCTGGTTATCCACTTGGTCTATAGAAACCAACAATTAGTCAATTACCCATGTCCCCGATTCTCTGTCTTTATTGTTTTTTTATAAACAAAATACCAAAAGTCCCAATCAGGTCCGATAATGATCTCATAAAAAATCTCACACATGCACAGAAATCCAACTGGAAAAGGTAAACTAACAAGCACGACACACAAGTTGATCTGTATTGCAACCGGAGAGGCAACATATTTTTGTAGTTTATTTCATAACCATGTAAAACAACCAAACTCAGTCTGGATAACCAAAAACATGGTAAGAACATAAATTAATATCAAAAAACTAACTTTCTTCCACAATTCTCATTACCTTTTAAACCGTTTTAATTAGCCTTAAACTTCGGAACTTCGACGACGGTCATGGCTAGTCCCCCAACCAGCAACGCCGGTACGAAGCTCAACCGCAGCGATAAGAAACTCTGCTTGTTGGAGCGGATTCAGGAGCTCCACCACACGTGTGATCGTTCTCAGTCGCAGATCATCAGTTCGATGGACGATTTCTGCTAGCCGTCGGATCCTCTGGTCGGGATCGGAAGATGTCCCCATGACGAGGTCACTCGCATCGTCTTGCCAGTCCGATAACTCTTCCGTTATCGCGTTCTCTTCCTTCACCGTCTCACATTGTAGCTCACTCACCGTCCTGCCTTTGACAAATTTAACCCTAATATTAAATTTTAAGTAGTCAAAATGCATTTAGTTAGTCCATATATATACTTACAAATATTGGAAAAAATTACTAAATAACAAAGTAAAATAATTACAAAAAAAAAACTGGAAAAAACTATATCAACGAGAATTAAGATATTACTAAAATCAAATTACAACTTTAAATACTTTTTCATAAATTAAACACAAAATCATTAGAAGAGTACGAGCTGTGATCAGTAGACAAAGTAGCTAACTAGGGTTTCATGTATATAACCTGAACTGAGACGGAGAGAGATCGCTGAGGTCACCTGTGCGAAAGCCACGAAGTATATCAAGGATACGAGACTCAAATAAAATACTCGATTCAGTGTAAACCAGATGAAACAAGGTGGTTGGTCGCCAACCACCGACCCAATGGAGTGACCGTTCAAGAGCTGAAGCCCATGGAGTAGCCATAACTCCGATCACGTCTTTCTCCGTCGTCGCCCACTTGGCCCTGTGGTACTCTCTAAAGTGTTCCATCACTCTCTCCACAGCTTCCCTTAAACGTTCCTCATCGCCGGTAGCGGAGTTCCGGTGGTGGTTTTGGGCGGAGTGGAGGTGGTTCATGTGGTTTCGTAGCTGATCGATCCATGACTCTTGGAATTTCTTGAAGCTCGTTATCGCTGCCTCTTGGCTCATTTCTTTGGGGTCCTCCGTAGTGTTTGGGATGGTCGAACCATTTTTATAATAAGACTAATATGCTTTTATGTTTTTTTTTGTCACCGACTTTGTTACCGTATTAACGTTCACATTTTGGATTTTTCATTTCTTTTCCCAAATGCTAGAGAACTAGGTGATTGCCCGCGCAAATGCGCGGGAATAATGCTGTGTGAATGGTAAAATCTTGTGAGATAAGGGATTGTTTAGGTGTTAGTGTAAGAAAATATGGTAAATTGTTTAGGGTTTAGTGTAATAAAATATGGTAAATGTTGAAATTAAAAAATTCAATAATATTATAAATGCTAAGAAAATAATAATAAATCATCTTCTAAACAAAATTGCAAGAAAATAAGAAATCAATGAACATCATCATTCCATGGCATTCTCCACTACAAAAAAAATGTACATTGATAGCATAATGGGATAGCACGGATTTCACAAATGCTATTAAAAATAGTATTTCAGATTTGGTAACTACTCCCTCTGTCCCAAATTATAAGAGGTTTTGGCTAAAAGCACAAGGATTAAGAAACAATAAATGTTTTCTTATTTATAAAAATTCAACCAATTAAAAAAAAGACTACATAATTTAAACAGTCAAAAACTATTAAATAAGTATAAATAGTGCATTGAAACTTGAAAAAATCTATTAAAATGGAACAAAGAAAAAACCCTTAAACCTCTTATAATTTGGGACAGAGGGAGTATATCATAGCATTTTATAAACGCTAATCCCTATAATAGCAAAGCGAAACGTTAAAATCACAAATTTTACACTAACCGCCTCAATCACCTAGTCAAAAAATTAGAATAAAAATCTAAAATTTTTATGACCGCCAAAAATTCAGCCAAATATTATACTTTTTACCTCCTTCACTTAGCCAAAATCACAAAACCCACTCGAAACCTAATTTTTCTCTTTTTCTCTCCGTAGGCCATAGTCTCCACAATGAATCCGTTGCCGGCCACAATCTCGCTATCTCCACCGTGAATTCCATCTTCTGCCAAAATCTCTCCATCTCCACCGCGTATTCCATCGCCAGCCACAATCTCTACGGTTTCCTTCTGAACTTGGTGTCGTTCGACGTTGGTCTCATTCCGACCTCTAGCTCACCCAAACCCTAACTCATCTTGTTCCACCACAGAGAAGAGAGAGAGAGAGAGAGATTGCTTAAGAGATGTTGTCGGACTTCAAATCAGTTTAGATCCGAAGCCATCTAAAAGATGAAGCTTTTAACTTTATCCGTTTTTTATTGAAGATTTTTAGAGAGATTGAAGTCGAAAAAGTCTTGAGTTTTCAATTTTGGTTTCGGTTTTTGGTATAAGTTTTCAGTTTTGGTGTACAATCATGCTCTCTTCTCTTCTTTGCATCATATAGGTTCTTCAAATTTTAGATCTCCTTCATCTTTAGAATAAAAGAAAGTTAACTCGGTGTTTCTCTTACCTCCTATCTTGTCGATTCAAATTAGAGGCTTTTTGAATCTGTAATTTGGGTCAACGTAGAAAAAGAAGAGATTTTTAATCATGTTTATTGCTAAATTGGTTAATTTTGCAGCTCCGTCAGTGAAGGGTACATGTGAGTTTGAAAGAGTTTATGTGACTGGGCCTCTTGATGCTTGTCAGAATCTTTTGAATACACCAGAAGAACATAGCTCAAATGAAACTTCCCCTTTTGTGTTGATTGTAAGATGAGGCTGTAGTTTTGAGGAAAAAGTGAGAAAAGCACAGAGAGCTGGTTTCAAAGCTGCCATATCTATAACAATGAAGATTGTGGAACCTTGATAGCAAGTATGAACCATTCTTCTCAGTTTATTTGAGTTTGGAGCTTTAGTTCTTTAGAGAATTATTCTTTTGAGGAAGACTTTGAAACTTTGTACATTGCTTTTAGGTGTGGATAACAACTCTTGAACTTGTGGGAAGTTTTGAGCTTTAGGTTCTTTAGCGGTGGATTTGCCACGGCGGTGAGAAGCTTGAAGAATCAAAGTTATGCACGACATTTCTATTCCTTTCAAGTCTCTTAAACTTGACCGTGCGTACTTCTTTTGATTTCTCTATCTCTTCGATTACAATTATTTTCTATTCTCTTTAGGGTCATTGTTTTTATTGTGTATAGTTTGAGTTGTAGTTGCCTCAGCTTCAAGGTGACCCCAGTTTTGGGTTGGGTCAGTGAGATGTGGTTTGATGATCCAAGAAAATTGGGTGACAAAGTTTCAGAGATTGTAAAGAGGTGAGTTTTTGTGATTTAGTCGTTACTTTTCTCTTTTTCTCAAGCTTTCCCTAATGTTAATGTAAAACATGGTTTCCTCTATTAGCACTCATGTTTAATCTATTAAGATTTGTAAAGATGCGATCTCTTGCAATTGTTAACTGTGAATAATAATTCTTATTGTTGGATCTTCTAAGTTTACCACTAATGTTAGTGCTTCTACATGGTTGATCTGGTGAACAGATTTTTGAATACTAACACAATATTTTAAGTACAAAGCTTTTGCAGAAAGGTCGCAAAGAATCTGATCATGGTTCAGGAATTTCTTTTCACGTTGCTCTCATTTGCTTATCCAAGTTCCTTTTTTGTCGTAATGGTGGAGCTAGCTCAAACAATTCTATAATAAAATTTTTATTTCTTATGTACAGGCAAGCGGTTGGTCAATAGACGTAGTAAAGTTGTTCACAAGTCCAGTGGAGTTCAGTAAGTGGTTTTCTTGTGATTGCTTTGTGCCCTCTATAACACATTCTTGGAGTTTTGTTCAAGTGTTTGACCAGATTGTGTTTATTTAGTTTCCATGGTTATGTTTCATTGATTGAGACTCTTGCATTTGCAAATTCTTTTTAATTTTTCTAACACATGCTTACAAGGATTATGCACGAGAATGCTAACGGGAAGGCGAAAGACAGAGAGAAGATGAGATTGAAGTTTGTCTTCATAATGTTAGCTTTATTTTTGCTTAAAACTTGTATGATGTTGTTATGTAAAAATGGCTAATGTAATAATATGGTTGATTATTTATGAAATATAAAATTTATTTTATAAATCGAATTAAATTTATTTTGCAACACATGATACAAATATAATAATTATATATAAATCCAATTAAATTTATATAGAAAATATAAAAATGCTGTAATACAATATAAAATAGCATTAAAAGTGTGTTATAATATAGTATATTAGAGCACTCTATTATCGCTATAATTGAACGACTTATAATAGCATGTCCGAAAACGCTATCGTATGTGTAACACCTATCATAGCTGCCGATGTCATAGCATCTGTGAATTCGCTATGGAATATATATGATAGCAGATTTTTCGCGCTAACTATGTACATATTTCTTGTAGTGCTCTTTGCGTATGTACTTGGTCGTTTTCAGGATTCATGACATCCGATTTAGAACACCAGAAACAGTTAACGTTCAGTCGCCAACTTTAGAGTTTTGATTGTGAACGGAAAAAAACCAAAAAATAATTACCAACAAAGCATCTCGTCGGTAATATTGACTATTTATTGTCAAACTCATCAATCTGCAAATGATTTCTACATTTATCAAGTTCTCTTTCATCGGATTGCAGAAAACCGTCAATTTTGTATCTCTTGTTTTGTTATCATGGTTATAGCCACACTCATCAATGAGAAAATAATTTTTACGTTTATCAAGGGCTCTTTTATTACGTTGCAGAAACACATCAATTTTTTTTTTTTATCATGGTTATAGCCAAACTCATCAATCCGCAAATGATATTTACGGTTTTTAAGGGCATTTTTATAACGATGCAGAAAACCGTCAATTTTACCCATTTTTCCGTTATAATGGTTATAGTAAAACTCTTCAATTAGAAAATAATTTATACATTTATCAAGAGCTCTTTCATCAGACAGGAGAAAACCGTCAATTTTCATCTCTTTTCTTTTTGTTATCCTGGTTATAGCCAAACTCATCATCAACAAATGATTTCTACGTTTATCAAGGGCTTTTTCATGAGACTGCATAAAACCATCATTTTTGCTCTTCTTGTTTTTTTCACATGGTTATAAACTCATAAATCAGAAAATAATTTCTACGTTTATCAACAAGTGTTTCATTAGGATGTAAAAAAACTGTTAGTTTCGCTCGTTTTTTTTGTTATCATGGTTATAGCCTATCACATCAAGCAGCAAATGATTTCTACGTTTATCAATAGCTCTTTCATCATGCTGTAGAAACTTACCAATTTTGCTCATTTTTTTGTTATAATGGTTATAGCAAAACTTTTCAATCAGCAAACGATTTCTACGTTTATCAAGAGCTCTTTCATGAGACTACAGAAAACTGTCAAATCTTCTCCTCTTTTTTTGTTATCATGGTTATAGCCAAACTCATAATCAACAAATGATTTCTACGTTTGTCAATAGTTTTTTCGTGAGCCTGCAGAAAACCGTCAATTTTGCTTTTTTTTCGTTATCATTGTTATAGCCAAACTCATCAATCAGCAAACGATTTCTAGGTTTATCAAGATCTCTTTCATTAGACTATAGAAAGCCGTCAATTCTGGTTCTCTTGTTTTGTTATCATGGTTATAGCTAAACACATCAATGAGCAAATAATTTATATGTTTATCAAGTTCTTTTTCATGAGCTTGTAGAAAACCGTCAATTTTGTTCATTATTTTTCGTTATTATAGTTATAGTCAAACTCATCAATCTGCAAATGATTTCTATGTTTATCAAGTTCTCTTTCATCGGATTGCAGAAAGCCATCAATTTTGTCTCTCTTGTTTTGTTATCATGGTTATAGCAGCACTCATCAATGAGCAAATAATTTTTACGTTTATCAAGGCCTCTTTCATTACGTTGCAGAAACCCATCTACCCTTTTTTTTTTATCATGGTTATAGCCAAACTCATCATCAGTAAATGATTTCTACGATTGTCTATAGTTTTTTCGTGAGCCTGTAGAAAACCGTCAATTTTGCTCCTTTTTCGTTATCATTGTTATAGCCAAAATCATCAATCATCAAA